TGTCTTATCTAATGTTTCAAAGGCTGATCTGATGTGATGGATGTGTCTGGAAAGATAGACCTCAAACTCGTTAATTGAAAATTGAGACAGTGTTGAGATGATGTTATTGATTTTCACACTCAGAGAGCAGTACTTGGAAGCCTGTGCCATTGTGAGAGATGGGTGAAGAGGTGAAAAGGAAACAACAGCGGGGGTCAAAGCAGGACAGTGAAAACTGAATGGTGGAGGAGGAGGAGCAGAGAGGGCAATTGGAGGAGTAAAAGGGATCACGAGGTTAGGGTAGGTAGTAAAGTAGGGTTGAAAGATGGACATTATGGGCCTTTAAATGCTTGGAAAAGAACTGCCATCCTTCATGCATGTTACAAGTGTAAGCTTAAACCTATGGCGAACATAAAGCTGGTGAGGGCTCACAGCTCAGGGAACAACCTTTCTAACCTATGCCTTTTCCTCACAACATCGATCAGGCTGGTGCATGTCAGTCCCCAGGCTGTTTATAAGTCAACATAAACCTACAAACCCTCAACCAGTGCTCAAGTAATCAATAGAGGTGGGAATCATGTTTACTCCCGTGTTTCATGGCCTTTGAAATGTCTCAGATAGAGGAGCTCTTGCAGCTTTCATTTGCTTCCTCTCTGGCTTCTCTCTCAAACATATAGACACAAAGACAAACAGTACTGTATGTCAGTATGTCTCTGGTGAATGCATAAAGGTGGTTTGTAAACCAAAACAAGGACATATGATCAATACCTTGCCTCATCCTTATCATTGTCCAAACCACATGCAGTAGTTCCTTCTTTCCAAACACCCATACACTCTCACCCTGTTGAGCAACCATTCAGTGCTTCCTAGGAACAATAACAATCTGGTCTGCTCCAGCAAGCGATGATGCAAACATGTTATGCAAATAATGATTGGAAACATCAGTTTCTTTGTTTGTCAGAATGGCAGGGGTCCAGAGTACTGTAAATGGGACAACCAAAAAAAAAAAAATCACTTGTTAAGACAGTGTTGCTTCTCATGAGCAAAAACAACCCATTAAAGTGACAAGTTTCAGCTTTGACTTGAGTACGTTTACATCAATATACAAAGAACTGTGTGGGGGATAAAACCCTTTTAACGCACGGGGGCCCAAATTGCAGTGGTTCAAAAGTTATTGGACACCTGCCTACTAAATGTTTCTTGGGCAGCTGTGTGTCGTTTCAATGCACAAAAGAGCTGACACATGTTTCTATGTAGACTGAGGTGTAGCTGTAGACCCAGCATGCACAATGAAACCAAAGCATCAATATGGAATCCAGTTGTCGTTAACTGTATTATTTACACCTGTGCTCTTCCATGACAATATGTATGTACATTGCAGCATGGTTGGTTAGCTTTAGTATTATCGTACAGTATTATGAGACTGTTATTTCCTAAAATATTCCTGTTTGGAAGCATCCATGTACAACCAAGATGCTTTATTGTTATATATAGTATCTGTTATATATGACTTTAGCAAGTGTTGCTGCCACTGTGAGTCCCCCCCAGCACAAATACTGACAAAACAATCCACTCACAGACAATGTCCTTTAATGTGTCAACTGCTCATACACATTTTCAACATAAATGTACAACTCTCTATTGTGTGACCAGACATTCTTAAGTCCAACAACAACATTCAACAAACAACACCCAATGGGCTGGCATGGCTTCTGTTTTTTTTTTTTGTGTGTGTGTGTGTGTGTGTGTGTGTGTGTGGCAGTTATCTGAGGCTCAGCATGCGACTGCATTTAAAGGGAGAGTGTGATTAGTCAACAAGCACCACCTATGCTAATCAACACACCTGGCACTTAGAAGCCACCTCCATACCTCTCTCTCCTGCAAATGAATGGCAACCACACCCAACCACACAATTATATTTTAAAAAAATATTTTAAAACTGTATGTTTCATTCTGATGGGGAGCTTTACTAAAATGCATATTGCTGTCCTCTTTGCTAAAACAAGCATGAAGAAAATTATGATGCTGTGCTGAAGAGATAATCTTGACAAGCTATCCGAGAAGTAACGCATAAGTCCTTTGTGTAACATAACCTATAAACTCACAAAATGTTATGCTGACTCTTGGCCTCAATACTTAGCTGGGCACGCTAACATTTACAGGTTACGTTAGCAGAAATAAATGCACTTTTTCATCCATTCCTTACAAATTTGCTTATGTGTTTTGGGTTTTTACAATAGCTGTTCTTCGCTGCTGTTATACTGAAAAGTGTAACATCTCTATCATTTTCTTCAGCTTCTTTTATAGCTTTCTTCTCGACCCTTAAAACACATCCTACTATTTATAGACACAGTCACACCTGGGTACAAACGGCTCCCTAAAGTAGCCCTGAGGGAGTGATGGAGACCAAAGAGAATCAGGAGAAACAGAGGTTATATGGCAAAGGTGACCACATTTAGTGCCCTAAATGGAAGACTGAGAGGAAGGGGCTGTGTGTTTGATTAAGGGCTTATTGGTGTAGCATCAGCGGGCAGTTTGGTCAAAATTACCTCTTGGCTATTTACCCCCTCTTGCTGTGTAATGGTGGACCTTTTCAACCTGGAATAAATGACAAAGTGGCCCCTGTGCCACTTCTAGTGGTGGGGATAAATGAGAAAACAGCCCTCCTGTGGGTGGGTGGGGGGGTGGGGGGGTCATTTCTGTAGAGATGTCTATGTTCACAGTAAAATACCTGAGCAACAAAAATGGCTAAACATCTTCTTCTTCACCCTCTATTCAGTTAGCAAACCACAAAACTCTCCGTTCAGCTGACTAAACCATTGTTTCATGATGGAAATGTCTGACAAAATCAACATAAATACAAGTTAATGACAACAGGTGTGCTGTATGACTGGCTGCATTGACTGTGATCACCTTTTTTGCCTTTTAATGTAGTTGAGTTCACTGTTTTAGTTTACATATTTTGCCCTTTCTGTTGTCAGACAACTGAACAAATATGAAATAGTTACTTAATCACGCCTACATGCTGCGCTGCAATGATACAATCATTATGTACGTCATCTGACAAAGTAAACATGCATCCAGGTCAATGACAACAGCTCAGCTGTGTATTCAGCTGTATTGGCTTTTAAAATGAACAATCACAGAGAAGGTTAAAGTCAACTAAAGGTTGTCTCCTTAACTTTACTGGCACACAGCCCTGACCCTCACTGGGCTGATTTATGTCATCATTTTTGAGAAGTTCTATTTACCTTGTACACACTGAGGCGTAGTGCACACGTACACGGATATTTATTAAGAATAGGGTTTGCCTCCTCCAGTCTTAAAAAAAAAAAATCTCTGTCCACATTAAAACACAAAACACACTGTCAAGCGCTGTCAAGAATGCCAAATCAAAAGGTAGCAATATAACTATACAGCCATGTTGGCCAATCAGATGCCTGAAAAAAGGTACCACTAGTTCTAGTAGGCGAACAATGACGTTACAAGCCAAAAAATCCCTATCTACACAACAACACTGAAAACTGAGTTTCTGACAGTCTTCACCCTTACTAGAGTTTTGCAAAATGTCCATCGTTAGTGACCCAAAGCAGAGTTTACAGTGAACAAAAGGTTAAAACGCATAGAAGAAGAAGCTATGTTTCAAAAAAATACCTGTGTATGTGGGGACAGTGCCTGAGATAGCAAGTTCTGACTGCAGACTTCTAAAAGAGCAAGAACATGCAAATAGAGAGGGAGAATGGTGGTCATTTAAATTCAGCTTCAACACCAAATACAGGTAAAATATCATCAAATTTTGTGAGATGTCTCAGAGTTAATGTGTGCAATGTTCTGACATTGTTACATGAGATTAACATAGGAAGTAGTTTGATGGGAAAGCGACTGAGAACCCCAAAGTAGTATAGTTAGCAGCCAATGTGCACAGCTTCCATGCCAAAATGATACATTTCATTCAGTCCTGTTACAGTAACCTGAAGACTTACTGTAACTAGTTTTCTTTACAGATGTGTATCTCTTTCTCTGTTTTTGATCTTGGAGCACTTACTATGCACACCTGGCAGTGCATGAGTCAGCACCCTCTGGTAGAAACCACTTACTGTGACACACACTGACGCATAAACTTCAGTTGCAGACTCCCACACTGAGGTGAGGCCTTTCAGTAACGATTACTTTGGGAAAACATTCTTCGAAGTTACTACAGTGGATTATTTATGTGGAAAGGCGAGGTTAATTTGTTCCAGCTGACATACAGTAACTTGTACTTGTCTTGACCTGACTCTGAACAGAAACTACTGCAGGTAAGTAAATACCTGAAAGGGCAGCCTCTCACCCTGGGAAATGTCACTGCTCAGGCATTATATGGGGTCTTACAAAGATGTTAAACCTTTAAAAGGGTTGGCTCACCTAAAATACATCGAACCATATTTTCTCACCCAGCCATGGCAACTACGCGGATATTTTTGAGTTGTGTCTCCACCGAAATACATTTGGGGTAAATGCAATTTTGTGCTGACATTTAAAAATGAACAGGGACATCTCTTTCAAGAACACTGTTTGATCCAAAGACCTCACTATCAGTGGTTTTCAGTGGAACTACTTTCCATTAAACAAATAGTCCTCATAAAAACTTAAAGTACAATGAAGGATGTGCATCAACCAAAGTAACAGGGATGTCGTTTGAGTAAAGAGACATGGTGGTTGAGTTCTCTAAAGGTTCTTTTTCCTATTCTGTGAGAACTACTGTGTCCACTTCATGTTCATCAGCCTCTCACTTCCCTGCTGTTACACATTAAAGTCTATGATGAACTGTTGCTCATTTTGCTCTCTCCTTGGAAACTGACAAACACACCAAGTCCGTGGTGGAATGAAGTACATCACTGTACATGTACTGTACTTACATTTTGAAGCATGTCTACTTTAGTTGTGTTTTATACTACTTTATAAATCTGCGTGATTTACATAACAAAAGGCAAATATTCTACTTTTTATTTACACTCACACAGAAAGACTGGCATTGACACAATTGTGCTTTATTGCTGTACAGGTACAGTACTTATAAAACATTGGGAACATAATAATTATGAAATATCACATACAATCTTTTTCTTTCCACAAACACATATGTATGCAGGTTAAAACATACTGTATGTCATGTACAAAAGAAAGATTACAATAAAAAAACAACACTATGAAAGGCAGTGAGATACCTCTGTTTAGGTGCTAAAATATTGTGTCTCTCTGGACAACTATACATGGACTGGGGACAATAGAATGGCCATTCTGCACTGGCTGTAGCACCAGAGAGCTGATCTCAGAGCAGAGGATTCCTGACTAACAAAGATGACTGGCAGTAATCTGGCTGCCAGAGTTTGGTATGCTCATGACAGAGGGAGCTAGGTCATAAGGGATTGCATACTATGGAGCTGATATGTGAAGGTGGATGTGGATAGATGACGAGTGTCTAGATGAGACACAGGGGACAGTGCAATGATTCACAGTGCAGTGGGAAGCAGTTCTTCACATTAAAAAAATCTTTTCAGCATGAGCACGTTATAGGGGGCCAGGTCCAACAAGTGGTCATGCGACGTAAAAAGCAATGATACCAAACATATCATCTCATTTTCGTGATGTCAGTAAACATGTTTATACACAAAACCATAATGCACATGACTAACCAGAACCCTGATCATAATGAAGGACAATACAGAGGCTATGAATTCTCTTTCTCTGTCATTGGCAAAGTTGACTAACTTGATCTTGGTTCATGTCTGTTTTGTTTGACCACAGGTGGAGTTAAATCCTTGGGTGGATCGCACCATGATGAAAATATCTGACGTACAGTAGTTCTGCAATGCACTACTACTCATGCAACCCCAATCACAGCAAACAAGGTGTGAATTATGTAGCAAATCAATACCTTATTGTCATTAACTTGCTTTAAAAAATGAACTGCATACATAACTTTTGAAGACAATAATTACATTAAGCAGTCAGGTACACTCTTTAGATACAGGCGCATGTTCCAGTAATAAGATACACAGGTTTATTGATGTGCACAGGCAGTGAAATAAAAATTTGCATTTATACATTCAGCCAGTCAGTCGAAAATGCAGCTCAGCTGATTTGCCATCTCTGTTGTGAATATCAGTGGTCTCCTCTTAATTCCTCTTGAATATTTGTGCACCTTCACGCATCGACAGCAGCTGAGATCGATCCTGTGATGGTGCTGCTAATTCGTAAGACTGAATCAATCAGACACATTGTGGGTGATCAGTGGGAATGAGAAATCAATTACAGCTATTGATACTTTGTGGCTCTAACAATTCAGACCGATCTTCAAAGATCAAACACCTTGTCGAGACACACCCAGCCCATTACAGAAGTCAACACGACACCACATAAACACTGTGCAATAAAACATCCATATACAATGAAGACATCTGCCTTGCATTAAAAGGAATATAACAATAGGATCAAGAGGGGGAAAACAAATAATATTAAATAGAGTATAAAGAATTTCATAGCCATAGACAATCATTCTGAAAAAAAGATATTCACATTTTAAAATAAACCTCTTCTCTTTACCTTAGTCATTGCATCTAACCCAAGACATTCTTAAATCTCAGTTTAACCATCACAGACAGTATTATCTCATCTTTCCTTGTCTTTCAGTTCAATCTCTGTGCTTTTCTGCCATAGTAAAAGCTACAACATACGCCACTTGTCACAATTTACATAGCGGTTACCATGGAAACACCCGTAGAGCCGGTTTGATCCATTAGGAAGTTGGCGGTGGGGGTCAAAGACCAAGTTAGGAAGGGGGACAGTTTGTGGGGGTCAAATGTGGAAAGGAGATGAAGACGGGATACGGCAGGTAGTGGGCGTCTGTGAGGACTCGCCCTCAGTGGAGGAATCTGTACAATAATCGAGTTCATCTGTGCGCGAGTCCCTGAGCTCTGCACAGTCTCCTGAACAACACCGAACACATAAAACTGTTCAGATGTTGATGAGACACAATGAGAGTTAAGTTGCTACTTTTTCAAGTGTAGACTGTTGTTTTTTATTTGTCCCCTCTTTTCAACATGTTCTGTTAATCTATTTAGAGACGGTCATCACTGAACCACAGTAACAGCTTTGATTTGGTCATTTATGTCAGTCTGTACATATTGGAGTATATGGGGATGACAGTATACATCAGTTTTTATTACTATACTTGTTAGTTTAGACATATATTTCACAAGTTGTGTCACTTTGGCACAGAGTTTCATGTTCACAACATGAACTATATACCTCACGGCTAAAGCTTTGTTATTTTAGCTTTACCTTTATCCCTTTAACCAAAGCAGGTTTTTTTTTGTTGGATCCCCTTCATATAGTAAAGGTGAGTACAGTAGTTTGCATTTTGGCCAGAGGGTTTTGTTCCTCAAAGGCTGGTGGTAACAATGGAGAAGAGAGAAGTGCACCTTGGGATATTACTGAGGTTACCCTGAACCCTGGTTGCACATGTTGCCAGGGCTGCAGTTGCACTTACAGCCCAAACGTGAGAGGCTAAGTGACAGCTGTGTACCTGAAAAAGGTCCCATGTCTAAGCCAGTACTCTGATGCTAAAAACTGGAGGTGTCCGAAGGCGTCGCTTGACTTGTAAACTTTAGAGAGGTCTGTGACTCAGGGGGGGAGGGGCTGCACACACAAGTGCTCACAGGAATACCACAGGACAGCATGTCAAGTATAATCAGCACCATGTTTTGGGGTGGAGCTCCTTTGTGTGCAGCAGTGCATCATGATAGGCTAGGATATAGACAAACTAAGAGGGCCATTTAATATCCAACTACCACGATAACACTATGTCTTTGCTCTTTAATCCATCGATGGACATCATAAATTTTATCTCAGAAGACCTGAGGTAAATAATATTGCCATCTGCATTATTTTTCTGGCTGTTTGTTAGTAAAATATTTGATCATAACCCCCAGCTTCCCACGAACCTCTACTGTTTCTGTTTTCCATTCATTTTTCATGGATAACACTCGTCAACGTCACATAGTGCTGCGCTTCTATCATATAGGTTGGGGCATCATCCTCCACAGTCAAGGTCAAAGGTGGAGGAGCAGGACCATCAGCCCAGGGACTCGGCTCATGCTTTGGGGCTTGGAGCTTCAGCCTAGTCCCTGGGTGTTGAGGTTACTTGGTCCACAAAAAAAACAAAACAAAAAAAAAAAACGTAAAGAGCATGTGCCAGTGTGGTTGAAGAGAAAGAGAGAGAGGAACTTCATAGCCAATACATGTGACTGCATCACACAGCCTCTGTCACGGAGAGGCCTTCCTGTTGGTCCAGAGCAGCGTGGGGGGCAGGGGTGGGGACTGAGATGGACGGTGCTTCCAGTCCCCCCGCCCCTCACACTGCACTCGCCGCCACCGCAGAAGCTCCCCCAGGGCGGTGCTCTCATCCCCGGTGGACAGACGTAACCTCTGGAACACCTGGAGGAGAGATGGAGGAAGAGAGGACAGGAAAGAGCATGAGCATGTTTATACCCGAACCATGCACTGAATATCGACCCCCCCCCCCCCCCTCGCGGCGGACAGACAAGCACATGACAGAAAGCAGAAATGACCAAGCTGTGATCGGAGATAGCAGTGAGAGAAGATGAGTGACAAGCAAAAAAAAAAAAATCATTCTTATCTCCTTGTCACTGCAAAATCACCCTAAAAACAGATGAAAGACATTTAAAATATCATCTTCTAATCTTGTCTCCATTAGAGAGTACCACCTACAGAGCACGATGTCTGATCCATCATCTTGAAGGAGTCAGTGTGATCAGTGGGCTGATTTTCTCCTCTTAAAGTGGGACAGTTTTTCTCATGAATCATTCTAATGAACAACACAGAGATGAATCCGGGGCGGCCGCACAGCCATTTCATGAGACCGTTGATACAGCAGGAAGCAGTGGGGGGAATCCCTCCTTTGACTGACAGCTTTAACAGCAACTCATTTCCATATTCTGTCTCTGGAGCCCACATGCTGTACATCACCTCCAAGAAGATCTTTTGAATTACAGTGGGGAGGACCTCAAAGTGGCTCTTCTACTTTCTCACAGACACTCAGAGCTAAACACAAAAGTGAACACCCACACACACCCACACACACACACATGCACAACAGTCTCTTTTGAGCAAATCATCAATCATCTGCCAGTCAATATCCAGGTAAATCAATCAGAAAGGAATTCCAATCTCCCTCAGTCAGTAACACCAGCAGCAGGATCGAGCGCTGATGATCCAGATCGGATTAGGAACTGGAGGTTATAATAGTGGCAGTTGATGGCCTGTTAAAGGGCAAAAAAAACTGTTCCTTCATGCTCAGAGATGAGATTTAAAGGATAAGTGCATTTTTCCCACTGTCAAGAAAACACCAAAAGGAAAAATTTGTAACTCTGTCTCTCAGTGCCTTCTGACTTTCCTACCCTGTCCACAGACCTAAAGCTTGAAATATGGCTCACAAATATTGTGTAGAGTTGAACCTTTTCAAAAGGTTCAACTGAATTCTGATGAATTGAATTGAACCTTTTCAAAAGGTTCAACTGCTGATTAATACACAGTTGGTGCGTAGTATGAATTTGCGGCAGTAGGACAATTTATTTGAGAGTGACTCAAAATAAACTACAGCGCCCATGTTGATCATAAGGAAGGACGATGTCATCCAGTGTAATAGTGTAGCTCGTTGATCGGTTTTAAAATACTTTTTCAACAACAATGAGCTCTATCAGGCTTTGACTACACAATGTTTGTTAGCTGAATTATTTCATTCTTGGTTTTGGTCATTTCATAAGATTTGTTGACAGGAAGAAAAATACAGAAAATATAATGCCAGCCTTATCCTGTAAAATTTACATACACACTGATTAAACTTTACTTTTATTCTATAATTCAATGTTTACATAATTTGTTTCCTGTAACAGTTGCTCCCCTAACCCCCGCTCTGTTTTTTGACTGCTGGACTTACAGCAGTGAGCTAAATCAAGTCAGCAGTATATATAATGCAACAGGCATACAGTACATTTAGTGATGCATTCCATACACACATTGCAATATAGCGCACGCACACTCACACACACCAATAAATGCATAATCCAGCCATTCTAAACTTTGACGTACATGCACATATTTAGCACACAGCTCTGCATGTTCATATGTACACACTCTCTCTCACACACACACACACACACACACACACACACACACACACACTCATATTGACTGCCTGCACAAGCACAATACTCAACGACCTAATCCATAATTTACACCTCCCTGCCAGGCTATTCTCTGCACTGGCGCCAGCCAGGAACACCAGCTACTGGAACAGTAGACAAGTAGGAACACTGCGTCCTTCTGCAATGTGTGACTTGCACACTACACATGAAAAGACACACACACACACACACACACTGAGCAAGGATGTCCCTATACTTTTGATCATTAAGCAAACTTCATAATTGTATTATATTTTTCAAACAGTTTGGGCTGCGTTGATAGACAGCCAAGAGCTCTGTCATTCATTTGAATGGGACCACTCAGTTGACAGTGCGGGAGTGCCAAAGCAGAGGAGTCTGGTAAAAAAGCTGAACCTGGCTCAACTTTTGATTCAATGCAATGCAATGTCATTCAGCAAGGTATCGTGTTTTCCACTTACATATGTGCAAGTGCACTTTCCTGGCAGGTTATCTACAGTGTCCGACTAACTCAAACTAGACTGGATTTCATTTTTGTCTCACTGGTATATCAAACAACACTCCCTCACCAATGTAGCCTCTGCATGTTATTAACGTATAGGGCTGTTATACCTGTTCCATTACTTTTTTTAATCAGCTAAAACAATCAGTCACTAAATAGCTTGTATTTCTAAAACCGATTTGCCAATGTTGTTGAATTGGAGGAGAGAGTGCAATGGCGAGAAAAAGAGGAACTGCAGAGAGGGAGAGCTGTAGGAGGTCACTGATGAACTATTTGTCAGCTCTTTCCTGGAAATTTGACTGGATAGGTTGGTGACACAGGGACTTCAGAGAAACTGGCGTGGTATCTTCACTCACACGTATGCTTTAACCCTGGCAAACACAGGGGATTCATGCAGAGAAACTAAGGCTCTCAGTCGGTCCACCTCATCCTTTAAGTGTTGTTATTCTGAGTAGCAAACAAAACAGTCTACACTGCTGTTGACTACTGACTACAGAAACCAAAACAAGTCAGTCTATTCATTCCTAACTGAGTTATCCACCCCCTTCTGCTTCCTTCATCCTTTCCTTTTTATTTATCCCATTAGATCTGCTAATCCTGCATAAACACAGCCTGGAATGCAGCTAATTGAAAGGTATTCTGGGTCATAGAGTTGTTTTCATCTCTTGAATGAATTTAGGATAATGAACCTGCTCCAGAAAACACACCAAATTAACAATTAATTACAAATTAAAGAAAGAAACCAAGATAAAAGTCTGTCTTTCCATGTTCAGTTGTAACAGTGAACATACATAGACACATCAGGATGAAGATCTGGAGTGACTACTAAGGCTGTACAACCCTCGGTTAGGACCAGTGACAACAGTGATGCGAAATAAAAGGGAGAAAGGTTTACAAAGGGGTTCATGGGATGGATTCAGCAACATAAAATCCAAGCAGATGAATAAGCAACAATAAAAACTGCAGCTGTCTTTAGCTGAACAGACTTAATCCAAGTGTTTGTATGCATGATCCCTTGCGTGAGCATTAGCATATGCTAATCCAAAAAGGAATATCTATTGTCCATCACAATATGCACTTACTTAATAATCATCAACACCAATCACTTCTCTTTGATTTCGTGTATTATTTTCTACAACATGTGCAGCCTTGAAAACTTCCATGTAAGATGCTCACTGCCACACCGTCGCTTGAAATGAAAAAAAAAAAAAAAAAAAAAACACTTTATGAAAGAACTCCCTCTAATCCTGTCAAATTATTATTAAATAATTTCAAACTTTACACTTAAGCGCTTTCACATCTGAAACGAACCATCCACACGATATATACCTGATATGTCTGGTATTCTTTTCTCAAAGAACCTCCAGCACTACAAAGAGCTCAACTGACTCCACAGATTTTCTGAATTGAGCATCTCATAAAGAATCTTACTGAAAAAACAAACTATTCTAATGGCCTCAAATGAGACAGCAAGACTACAATGTCTTCAGTTCTGACAGTGATTGTGTGCAGATACGCTGATGCAGAAAGTCATGCTGAACCCAAGAGCTGCAGTTTCCCTCCAGAAATAATGGATAAAAAAACAGGGGTGGGCAGTAGTGCCACTGATTCTAGGATCAGATTTTTTGCCCCTGACTCTGACATAACAGGAGACAGGGCAGATTGCTCATCTGATTCCAGACCAGTGACTAAAGGATGAGCACAGTAAACAAGGGGAGCAGGTGAAGCTGAGATGATGTCCTGCAGAAGCAGTGGTTTTCAAGTTTTTTTTTCCCAAGGACCAATTTCTTTATTTGAATCTTCGCATATAAATGACTGTAAATTTGATCAGAATATATATATTTTTTTTTTCTGTCATGAATACACAAACACTTACTACTATAGAAATCTATTGTCCACTGCCATGAATTCTTTAAAGCCACCTTTCAAGTCTACAGGAGTTTTCTTTCACACTCCAAAAACAGACTTTAGGTGGAATATTACTTTGAGCTTAGACAAAACTGAAATGATGAATGAAGGTCAATAGGTCTCTACTGTCATGATCTCACACTGGGTCTATGAAAAACACTGCCATTAGGGTGGAGAGTCGCGAGGCATGACATACACTCACCACATCCCTACATGTGAACAGGGCCTCCAGTGAGCCCCCCTGCCCCCCCCCTCGCTGTTTTAGAGGGCAGCCCCCGCACCAAATGGAGAAAAGTTGAGATGTCCCCTCTGGAAGATAAAGAGTAACAGCCAAGCTCATCAGAATCAGGGGGCGGGAGAGAAAGAGAGAGTCATTTGGGTACAAGAGAACAGCCCAGTAGTTCACATAATTTGAAAAAAACCTTCACCTTCAAGTTAAATTGACTATTAAATTAGCAACTGGAATGTGCGTCATTCTTTTTTAAATGTTGTAAGAACATGTACTGGCACGTCACTATTATATCTCACACACATAAACAAGCTGCAAAAAGAAGAACTCGGTGAGCTCGCCCCAGCTGTGGAAGCAGGGGCACAACATTTAGTCAACCTAGGGATTGTGAAGCGGGTACACAGTGTGCCTTCACATCTTTAGTGGCAGTGTCTTATGATTCATCTGTTCTGAGCAGCTCCCAAAGTGGGACACTACGTACCTTGCTCCTTTTTGTGCTTCGTGCACTACTGACTGTGACACTCAATCACTGACTGCTGTAGTCTGTGATGAATCCAAAATCAAGTTTCCATGTGGTGAAACTTTCTTTTGCACATTAGGATGAAACAGCTGCATACTGGGATAAACATGCAGATGCAGTTACACATCAACTATTGAGGATAGCATTTACAGAGTGAATGAATAGAGCCAAAAGAGAGTGTTCTCAGATTGTTCTGGCTCTTTAGTTATAATATGTAGTTAAATCTTTCTATTAATCAGAGAATCTGACTTTGTTTTTTGTGGATAAAAGACGAATTCTACTCAGTCTCTGTTTTTGCCTGAGGTGAAGGTACAGCACATAACAACTGCCATAAGAGCTTTCTCCCCGTTGCGACTGCCTCTCCCTGTGGACATCTTGTATGCTGCATCGACCATGTTAGTGTGATCAAGCTAATGAAGCCCTATATCTTTATACCTTTAAATGATTAAGGCTTTCTGACATATATGTTTGTGGTTCGTGGTTGTGTCTCATTTTGTTCTTCTGGCTCTCCTGTTCAAGATGCTTTCCACTTTTATCAATCCCATTTAATGAGGCTGTGTATGTCTACGTATGTGCATGTATGCATTCCTGTATGAGAGTGTGTGTGTAAGCTTGCGTGCATGCATGCAGGACATTAAATTCAATCCTGTAACCGTATACCTGTCTACAGAGCCAGAGAAAGCTTGCATGTCATGAGTGATATGTGTTTTTCAAAGGGGGCCACTTCCCGGTCCACTCAAAATGTCAACAAAACCAAAACAAAATACAGGCCTGCTATGATTGTGCTGTAATCGTGTGTTTGTGTGTTAGTGTGGGTGTATGTGTGCAAGCGTGTGTATGTACATGCCACTCCCATTTTAAATAATAAAGAGAAGCTCATGTGTGTTACACAAGGTGTTAGAAAGTGAGGTCAGAACAAAAGGAAATGGTGCCTGTTGCCATTAGTTTAATGCATCGGACACTTATTCTGCATATTCAATTGAAATGATAAGTGTGATAAAATAACACACACATAATGTCACTGTGTTCTCGAGTGTCTGTTTGCGCTCTTAAGTGACTGTCTTCGTCTTTACCTGAGTATGATGGCTGTCCATGTGTCTGTGTAGAGAGGTGGAACTGGAGGAGTTTGACTTGCTGTGACTGTCTTCTTCCATCGACCCTGAACACACAATATCGAAAGCACGTTATGAAACACAGACATCTGACTGGAGGTCCTCCCACACACAGACAGGTAGAGACTGAAGGACACCTCACTTTTCAAGCTCTGGCACATGGCAGGAAACAACCTTCTCTCTCATGCAGAGGGAAATGTACAGGAAAGACACTAGTCGACCGTCCCCGAGTGTTTAAGGAATATTGTAATCACTCTTTGGCTGCAGCTGATTTATCAACTTTGTTTATTGTGGCATTTCCCATTTTGCAAAAACAAGGTTGCGTCTTCACACTTTTTTATTACAGACTATGGCAAACTTTATATGAGCTGGGTGTTACACCTTTAATTTAAAATGTATTCAACCTGGACATGATATTCTCTGTGTAAATGTATATGTGTGCATTCTTGTAATGTCTTTTTTTTTTTTATTTCTCTGCTTTAATATTGAACCGATGTTTCTTTGCCTGTATTATCTTCTTCACCCTCATCTCCTCCTTGACAACATAGCAAGTCATCACTATAAAAAACTATGTAAATTTTAAATCTGAATGCAAATGTACGAAAACATGGGCTGTTACCGTTGGAGATCTGGTTGCCGTTCTCTACGGGGCCGGGGCTTGGGGAGTGGGGAGAGTGGTTGTTGGCGTTCTTGTCCTGTAGCTGCAGAGATGGTGAGGTGGGAGCAGAGCCACATTCTTCCCTCCCTGGCAGATTGATATTAGAATTGAATCCTGGGAGGAATATAGCCAGAGGAAAACACTCTACATGTCAGTACATGTCATATACAGTAGACACCAGACATTAGATTCCATCATGCAACAGAGGGCTTGTGGGGCACAGTGAACTCCTGGCTTTGAAGTGACTGCTGGTTACCATGTAGACTTAATGGACTGTGTTTCAGTCACTATTTTATACTAGTTCCATTGTCTGACAACAGAAACAGAAAAACATGTAAATGAGAATGGCTTTATATGGAATTGGGCTGTGTTTAACTACTGTATATGTGAGGACAGAGAGTGGGACAGAAGCAAACACATAAAGGGCTGAAACTGGCTGACCCCAGGCAGAATGCAAATAGCCTACGATGCAGTCCAGCCATATACTAGATTTTGACTTAGTCTTGTTCCACTTAGTGTCACCCCTGCTTGTCCATCTATCCCAGCCTTTTAAAAAGTATTCATTCAGCTCCGTCTGGTGGGAAGGTGACTCCACATGACCTGCCTCTGCCCCTGTCGCTGCTCCCCAGGCCTCACATGCACTCACACACTGAATGAGTAAGAGACTGTGGGTACATATGCGTGTGGGAGTGTGAATGGGAATTCGTCAGCTGCTGTCCCACACTGAGAATGCGTGCCTTCTGGTCCACCCATGGTCACAAGATGCCTAAATATAAACCTAGCAAACTCTACTATAGGTCCAGTGGGGTAGGTGTGTGTTTGTGCGGGACAAAAGGCCAGGTAGGGAGAGAGACACAGAGAGAGTCCATGTGAGGGTTGCATGCCTGTGAAAGAATGAGTCACAGTGAGTATTCAGGTTTGTACAATGAAGACCATAATGAGAGAGAATTGGACCTTTATCCAATTTTGTAAATTTTGTGTGTTGCTGCTGAGGCATGAGATGTCTCATGACAGTGATTTCCTGAAGCCTGCCAAGACCACCTGCCCTCTTCCCCTGGCATTCCTGTGGTTTTCTCATTCCCTGTGGATGAGAAAGGGGAGGAGGAGGAGGGAGAGACAGCTGCTCTTCACAGAGATGTCTGGGATAGCAACTGTAACCCCTGGCCACTCCCACAGCGTCAGGTATCACACTCAGTCATTTAACAGCCGAGGGGGAACGGAAGTAGGCCATCCTGTTAAGCCCATCGGCATCCCTCTGCACTCTGATCTAAGCGAACCGCCTTGCTTTGACCACTCAAAATACCCCAGTGCCAGGTTCCCCTGTCACATACACAGTTTCCATGACGCCAGCGCTTTCCCATGCGCAGTTCCAGGTGCCGACGAGGAGTCGAGTGCAAGATGTCATGTGAGGCATATGTGTCAGCAAGTGCACTTGCTCTCATACCATCTCTTATAAGGAGTTCAGCTACCTGCCCCCTCTTGGTGCAATTATAGAAGTATGACACAATTCTGTCTTACAAAAATCACACAACTCCACAACAACAACAACCCTCTGGAAAGACGACTGATTATCGACAACAGCAGCTTGTACTTTCACTTGTTTTTCTAACTAGTCTCCTGGATAATTGTCCAGGATGGCCTGTTTGTGCTGCTGGTCAGTCACACTCCCTTCAACAGAACATGAGTGAGCTGTTGAATATTTAATGCACACCCTCATCATGCTACTGCTCATGTATTATTAACCAAACCACAACTAATACACTTCGAGGAAACAGAGGCTCAGTCAAAAGCACAGTGGGACAACAAAGTCATGCCTTCTCTGATGAGCATATGCTTTCTCAGTATGTGGTATCAATGGGAAATTTACTTTCATAAAAACAACGCAAAGTAATCCCTTATGGGTTTGAAACCTCTGATTTGAGGACCCGCCCATTTCATTCACTAGGTGAGACAAATATGTTTGTCCTCCTTTTGCAAAGGTCAACCTTTGCATCAGTGTCAGAGACTGTGTGTGCTCTGCATGTAGTGCACTGAGCTGAAACACAGCTAGATCATACTTAAAGTGCAGTGAGATGCTAAGTGTGCTACCCGAGCTAGCTCATTAGCCAACATGTTACAGGGCAGCTGCAACAGCCAAAGGGCACTGCACTGGAGACTTTAACAAATGGGCTGCCTCAAGTGGGCCAAGGAGTGTGGCTGAATTAATGTAAGATGTTTCCAGTGTAGAGAGGGGGGATTTAAGAGGAAGGCTTTTAGTTGCTGGTGCATCTCACTTCCCTACCACTCAAACACAGGGCATGTTTGTCACAGATCCACGCACAAAAACAAGAGGTTATTACTTACAGACAGTACAGCCCTACACTACTCTTGTTGTACAGAAGGTAATCACCCAGTACCCAATACATCATCTGGCACAGACCAGGCTCAGACTTTGATCATGGAGTCATCACAGTAGATAGAACACATAATGGACACATGGACTCCTGCACAAATGTGAACACGCACACACGCACGCACGAATGCACGCCCGCACACGGGCACACAAGGCCTTCAGTGACCGCAAAACCACGACCAAACCACCACTCACACCCACACACACAGCACACACACAACACACACACACACACACACCACCACACAACACACACACACACACACACACACAACACACACAAAGCACACACATACAAACCCCAAACATCCACCTGAGATAAATGAGACATCGTTTACAAAATGAAAAAAAAGGCTTAGTCTCCACCCCTTCTGAACATACCAACCCACCATTAGGTTAACATATTGGTGACTTGTCTTGGTCTCACTCAGGTTACAGCAACTGTAAGTAGATTAACCCATGACTGCAGATGCAATTGAAAACAATGGATGGAGGAAAAAGGGAGGAGAAACAGTTCCTTTAGACTCTGGAAGTGTTCAACACTGTTTATGTGCTGTAATCTTTTCTCTGTTTGTGTTTTAGATGCATGTAACTGCGAGTGAGTGTGTGCGTGTGTGTATGTGCATTAGTGACAGACCTCCATCTCTCGTCTTCCGGCCAGACGTGGACTTCCTCAGCAGGCTGCGTCCAGAGCTGAACAGAGTGTTGAGTTCATCCAAGGGGCTGGTCAGTGGTCTGCCATTGGCTGGGTTGAATAGCAGGGGAGAGGAGGAGCATGAGTGCGCTCTGCGAGGCTCAGGACGAGACATCTTCACTGGGGAGTAGGGAGGTGGCTTCCCCAGTGGTTCCCCACCTCCCCTTTGTGAGGATGTTTTGGGGGAGTCCGAGCTGCCGGTGACAGATGCTGCCCGTGTCAGAGCCAGGAAGCTGGCCTCGGGCGGGAAGGGGAAGTGTGAAGGAGGTCTGTAGGGAGGAGGGGGGGCACTGGGGGGAGGAGGTGGCGGTGGAGGGGTGAGTGGAGGTGTAGACTTCTTCTCTGGCATGAGGACAGTGAGGCTAGGGGAGGAGTCAGCCCTCTGGCGGGCATACTGTGGAGACAAGGGGCTGTCGGGGCCAGTAGCATAGTTCAGGTTTGTCTCAAACACTGGCAGCTTCTTTACCTCTAGAGGAGTGAGGGGTGACTCATCTGAAGCAGGAGAGCAGGTGACGGGTGAAGGGGGAAACACCAGGAGAGGTGGACGGTGGGGGAGCAAGTTGGGGAAGGGAGCAGGGATGTCACAGCTGCCATCTTTGCCATGCTGAGCCTTGGGAACTCCGCTGCTGGACAAGCTCTGCGAGTGCGCGATGTCTAAGCCAGCGGCCACCCCTGCTGCCGTTCGTTTGGTCTCCCCACTCTGAGGAGGAGATGTCCCTAATCCCACCAAGCCCAAGCCTAAAGCCTCCAGTTTTGCTGCCTTGGTAACTACAGTAGGAGGAGGTCCACCATCATCATGAGGGAAATACTTCATCTCCTCATAGACGGCTTCTGAGTCAGCCTGTTCTGGGCTGTCAGGGGGCTCCTGGAGGCTCCGAGTCCGCGGCTGAGAGCCCAACATCTCTATGTACACATCCTCTTCATCATGACCCTGGTACAGACTCAGTGCTACCCCTTGTGGGGCATCAATGGAGGCTGCTCTCTGCATTAAACCACCAAAACCTCCAAATCCCCCAGCACGGGACAGCAAGGCCAGCTTTACATCAGCGGGGCGCAGCTGGTGGAGGTGGGGTGCTACAGCGTTGATCTCCTCATACGAGCCCGTCAGTTTAGTGTTGGGACTGCGCTTAGGTTTGGGGGGTGGCACCTTCCTCATGGTTGTGTAGTCATCACTGTGGGGGCGGGGCTTTGACAAGGCTGAGGAAATTACAAATAAAGCAATTTAATACAGAGAGAAAGCATTAGGCAACAGCGCTGAAGCACAACAAACCACCATCTGTTATGTGTTCTTAAGACCAGTGGAGGTGATATACCTGCAGGGTCTGTGGGGGACAGCTGGGATTTAGGGGGGCTTCCAGCTGGCGAACCATAGCCCTCTGGAGTGGGGCTTTCTTTGGCTGCCATCGTCAACCCGGCACTAACTGCTTCATAAGATGCACTCAGACGGGTGTTGGGGTCCCTCTTTGGTTTTGGGGGAGGTTGCTTCCGAGGTGATGAAAGACCTCCCCCGCCTGCCCCGTCCTCACTGGTGTGAGCTACCTGCTGCAGGGCTGGCTTGATGGGTGGACTGGCAGAGGAATGGACCATGCTCTCCATGGCGAGGGGGATGGGTACTGAGCTGGACCGAAAGTGGCGAAAAACTCGACTTCCCCCATTGACAGGGCCCTCGTGGACTTTCCCACTTTTCTCCACACCCCTACAAATGGGTATGAAGAATAACAGAATTCATCTTTAAATCAAACATCTCGATTTTGTTGTGTTTGATCATTTGTATTATCTCCATCTACATCGCTTGATTCATGGTTTCCACAAAAGAAGCACAGAAGCTTTAGCCACAGACACAACAACTTCCCATACAATTAGTTTTTCTGATTAAGTCAACTATATCATTTACATCATCAAACTTAATACATCCCTGCTTTAAGTGTCATTCCACAAACATGAGCTAAGGAGGCCAATTAAAGGATAAAGACCAAATACATTATGCTTTAAATTTAATCTCTTTGCAGTAATTTGATCCCATCCAGTTTGATATTTCCTTCACTAATCTGGGTGTGCCATCTGTTGGTTCAGTGATTGAAGGGGGGAGGGGGGTATGTGTGCAAGCAATGGGGGAAGGCACTTTAAAAACCTGCTGAGAAATTAGGTGAGTTTGGATGAATGTGTGCATGTGAGTGCATTTGTATGTAAGTGTGCAGAAGTGTGTATGTGCCAATTAATCCCCTCTACAATACGGCAACTCTGACTCCTCTCCCAGTCTGCCTATTGACACCCCTCCTCCTGTTGGAAGCCTCCCTGCACTCCTGTCTCCTGTCCCAGCAGCAGATGTTACATGTACAAGGACACATAGAGGATACAGAAATCATGTGTGTATGCTTCTTTTCATATTTAAGGTTGTATATCGCTTTATCCTAATGTTAATACTCAATCTAATTATCAAAATATATTAAAAAAAATACTTAAATGACCCCTTTTCCACTGTACTGAGTTACATTTAACTTTATTTCAGGCCATTTGAAGCTTTAATTTGTTTTAACATGATGCTTTCAAGCAAAAAGATTATTCTTCCAAATGAAACACCTGCATGTCTTTTTGACAACAAATCTTCCAAAAATCGAACTGAATGCATATTTATATTGTCATTTAGTCACAAAGCCTTGAAGCGTTGGCATACTAGTCACCACTCATTGTCAACCTGGAATGAAAGTCAGTATTATGAAACCGTGGCAATAAGCAACACAAATCATTTTGCCTCTGCAGAGATGGAATTGAAATAATAATTTCAGTTATTATGCAGCATACCATATAAAGCCTAAACATATATCATATGTACACATTTACAGGTTTATGAGAGCTGAAATGCAAAGTCACAATTCAGGTATTACCATAAATAATGTCATCATTTTTCAAAAAGTAGGAAAGTGACTTTTCAAAATGAAGGTCGTTGATTTAGGACCGCCTCTAAAGAGCTTCTTATTAGCTTTTTTGTGCCCCTTCTAATTCAGCCCTGCAGGGTTATTCCATTTTCTCCAGGCTTGATACGTTACATTAGAAAGAGGTGAGGTGGAGATAAGGAGATAACATTCCAAAGGTGCAACACAATACTAATACAATCTGATTATGCAGCTCATTATCTGACTATCCATCATGAAGCTTACAATTAAAAGCCTACAGTGCATGGAGATACAATGACATCATTAATCACCAAACACATGCCATGCAGTTATAGGCACACACATGCAAAAACACTTGAATAAAGACACACAAGCACATTTATAAAGGCAAATGATTCTTTCCCAGTCGTAAATCCTGTGAATGACAGTGACTGCAGATTGTTTGTTATTTTGCAGGCTAAATAATTCCACAGTAAACTATGAGGCCGTCACATTTAGTGTTATGAATTATATTGTAGTGAGTGATAAAAGCCCTGTTTTAGAGAGAAAACAGTCTTGAGTGGCTGCGTTAGTTTGAAGTAATCAGTAGCATGGTGGATGTTTATCATCCAAACAACTCTTAAACTTTTTGATCAAATGAATATTTGGCAAGAATGTAGATAAAATAACATGATGAATACAAAAGACAAATGGTGACAAAAATGAATAACTGCTCATCCCCATGTCTTGAATATTAATTAATTAATTCTGATCATGCGTCTTTGCCTTCACATCTGATGTATGAGTTGGGACGGTGTTTTGTTAATTTACCTCCTGACAGGCTGATCCTCCTCCTTACCCACCGGCTCAGGCCTCTCACCAAGTGGTGGGCTGTTGCCAAGGGTGTTGAGAAGGCTGTTGCCATGGCAGCGCTGGCGGTCGCTCTCTCGTGCGATGTCAGATGCATTTTGGATGACCAACTGGTCATAGGTTCGTAGCCCCATGTCCTCTGCCCCCTGCAGGAAACGCTGAACACTGCACTCCTCTTTCTGCTGTAGTGACAGCCTGCGATGAACCCGCTGTCTGGCCAGCCAGCCACGCACCACTGAGACATGAGGAGGACATGAAGATAAACATCAGATGTATCAGAGAGAGAGAAGAACATCTGAAAGAACATCTCAGTTGTTGGTTTGTTATTTGGGATAATTACCTCTCTGGCAGGTGATGATCTTCTTATGAAGCTGGTAGCAGCGGTCGTTGAGCTGGTCTGCCTGCCAGTATCTCAGAAATACTTTACTGCTGCCCATCTACACATACAACGGAACAAAAATGATCTGATCAAACATACACGCGTAACAAGTATTGTTACACACTACACTGGCTTCATCATCAGTTTCTAGGAGTAGCCAGCAGACCCTGTGAGGATCTTTTCTGAGTGTGCCTTGCTAGTTGAGAGCGCAGTAGCAGCGATGTATGATAATAGGTGGGTGTGGAGTGTGGGCAGGGTGTAGGTTTGCATGTTGACACTGCATTCACTTCCTGAACTCAAAGGGCATTTGGGGGTCGACAAAGGTCACTCTACACCAGGTGCACAGAACTTTGGGGGTGACATACTTCCACAGACAGACACTATTCAATCCAACACACGCTACTTGTTGGGAGTAGTGTGTGGGTCTGTGTGTAAAGCAGGGCCGCATGAAAAGGTGTCTGTGGGGCATTGTTGAGGAGTGTGTATGCATGTGTGAGGCAGGAGCTGATGTGACCTGTAGGGTCACACACTCAGACACAACAGCAGTCTGGCAGACAGGACAGAGAAAGGGGCGGAGGAATCCATGCTGCTCTGTGTGTGTGTGTGTGTGTGTGTGAGAAGAATTATGATGAGGTGGGACAGCTGGAACGAGTTGTCAAAGATTCCATGGGATCTTTCAAATACAGGGTCAGGGATTAAGTAATTTGGCAAATCTTTTGTTATTGGTGGAGGCCAAAAAAGACACAGACACAGACACAGACACAGACACACACACACACACACACACACACACACACAGACACACAGACACACACACAGACCTGCCATCCCTGGAGTTTAGACTGCTGCAGAACTGAGCGACATTTCTCCTCTGGTGACAATTTCTTCTTGTCTCCCAAAGTTGGGACCACGAGGTCTTTATATCTGAGACACACAAAGACAAACAGAGACCGTTAGAGCTGCAGAGACAAAAGTAACTCAAAGTGCAGAATTTAAAAGTTTAAACCAGACAAAGTGACACCGCCGCTTTTCAGAAACAATGGGTTCAAAGGTCAGTGGGGTCATACGGCAGACCAGCCAAACAGCATCTGTTCCTATTGGTGTTGCCTGGGGCAACCGTTGCTATGAATGGTCAGCTGGATGGAGACAGTGGTTTGTTTGTGCCTGGGATGGTGGGGGTGAAAGGGAAAGGGAGCTATGTTGATGCAGAAATCACAGACAGAAAATATCTAACTATAGATGTTTTTTTACACTGTGTGAACTCTGAGTGGATGAGTGGTGTCAGAGCGATAGAGGCTGGCTTACGAAGATAAACCTGAAGATTTGAATGCCTGGAACAGATAAGAACTTGTGCCTGGAATAAAAAGAAAACGTTCTCTCTTTCATAAGCAGTTACTCCCAAAGGACCCTAATGAGCCCCTCTCCTCATGCTTCACAAAGACTCAGCAGCCACACAGTTTTTAAGTGTGACCATAATTGTAATGAAGAAGAACAAGTGAACATAGTCAACTGTTTTTATAAAACAGTAAAAGAAAAAGAATCAAGATTAAACCTCTTGGTTTCTAATTTAAAGGTGGTAAAATTGGGTTAAAAAATTGCATAACTAGTCGCAAGTGGCACAGTGGCTGTGATGCAATCTTCTATTTGCACTAATCCACACTGGGGGTGGTGATTCTGATGTGTTTGTGTTATAAAAATTCTATCTACACTGGTTCAGTGTAGATCAACTTTGACTAGAGCATTACCACCTATGACGGACACCTGGCTGACAAATCTCTTTGTCACTGTCTACAGAGCTCCTGAACCGGATGAACATGTCACTAATAATTTATACTTGTACGAAATTAATTAATCTAAAATGATTCATTTAAACTAAGAAAGAAGGTGGAGTGACAAGCTTGGGTTAGGGTCCGGGTCCTGCTGCTTTCATGATATAGAACTGTAGTAACAGGCATAAGCAATAACAGATTTTACATCTAGTTGTTATCTTATATGCACAAGAACATGTAACTGGTTAAATACAGTAGACAAGACAACAGAGTGAGAGTAAAAAAAGGACTGCCAACCAACCAAATACACAAATCCCCCAAACGTCTTATTGGTTGCTCAGTCCATTTTGTCAGTCAGTGCTCTGTCTCTTCTGTTATGAATGAGAGGCAGAGCCGTCTGATGATGTCATACATCTGATGAGACAAATTTAACAAGCAGATGGCTGGAAGCATAAACCACCTGTACTGTCAACAGTGAGTATGAGGGTGCACGTGAATGTGGGATGTGTTTGATTTGCAGGAGTGGGGTCCGTCTGAACTCTCCCTCACCCTCTCTCTGTATGGTAATACCAGTCCTGCAGACAACACACGCTGTCCCGCTGGGCCCATAAAACACAAAGGAACTCTGTAAACCCATGACCTCCCCTATGAGGATATGAAAACCATCGATGGTCGCTGCTTTTACAAGACCCAAGGGGGCTTCATGTGGAGTCAAAGAAGTGAAATAACCCCTTTGATAAGAGTTTAAATGGAGGTCTACGGGGGCGCTAACAGAGTTCTCTGCGACCAAAGGGCCATCAGTGACCACTGTTATTGAGCGTCACTAAGGCGGTAAACGTGCGGTGGAAGGCAAATGGAATTTAAACCACTCACTTCCTCGGTGAAGCTGCTCTTATACATCTGACAAACTTTTAGTTGCCACATCATGAAAGACTATTGGATATTCACCCCAGGGGTCAGACGGAAATGATGGATATTATTCTGTAGGCAACTTTACAGCCTACAAATGTGTGTGTTTATCCATCAGAGGAAGGTGATGATGAGGACACACTTGGAACGAGCCATATAGGAAATATGACCTATATGCTTGCGAGCTGCATTTGTGACATGTTCCATGAATACAGATCCAGCTTCCTCATCCACTTTCTAACAATGTATATGTAGAACGGAGCAAAGAAACACACATGGAGGGCTGGGATTAACAGGAACAAGGTTCAAGTGGTAGTATTTGACCTTACACATTGGTAGAAAATAAACCCCTGCCACAAAACACATAGTGTATCATAAAAGACAAATAAAAGCAACAGTAAAATAGATTTCCTCATAAATCACTGTGGTTACCAGGACACTAATGTAATTCGCTTCAGGCGGCCACTATGACTTAGTGAAGTGGCCTGCATGGTTCCAGTGTGCAAGTGTGTATTTTTTTGTGTACACACTGTGTGTTTGTGTTTACCAGAATACAGCAACCTCAAGATTAATAGCTGATTTATTGGCCTGTCATTTTTTGTTAGTCAAGCGCCAGGGCCTGTTTTGAAAGAGTGACAAATGGACAGAGAAAGAGGGATAAGAAACAGAACAATATTGAGATTCTGTGTGTTTGCATGAGAGAAACAGGAACAGGAAAAAGAAAGACAAAGACTTAAATTAAAACGCTGAAAGGAAGAACAAAACTGAACATGTTGGTATAAGGAAGAAAGAATAGGGGGGAAGATGAGAGAAAAAAGGAAATGGCGGTTCAGTGGAGAGAGCATGTGAGGAAAGAATGAGAAATCAAAAGAGAAGGAGCTCTGTGAGGACAGCAGTGTAGTCCGCCCCCGCTCTGCAGCAGCTCCTTCCTCTCCCAGGCCAGGCTGTGTTCATTCATTGGCCCTGTCTGTGCTGAAACCAGTGGAGGAGAGAGAGGAAGATATGAATGGCAGTTGGGCTGGGCTGACTGGTGTCTTTGTGAGTGGCAGCCACTTAAATGAAGCATGGCCTTAATGTATAAACAGCAGAACAGGGACACGTGTCAGACAAAGGCACACACAAAAGGTCCATTTGTAGGAAGACAAAATGCAACAAACGCACATACACAGTGCACACAAACCAGTGCTGGGCAGTTAACGCATTACACATTAAAGCATGACAGTAATTTGATTACTTTTTCTGCAATAAGAAGAATTACAATTTGAAATTCTGTGATTAAATTACAGTTGCTAGTCCCAGGAACACTGTGTTACTTCAAGATTTTAAGGATTCAGCTGTTTGCCGTCTTAGGAGGAAGTAGGGACGGGAGTGTTGAGTTCGGTTTCATCCCATTCAGTCAACAGACTGGTTTGGGTCATGTTAGCTTGATGCAGGGACTGGAAGGAATACTTCCATTAACTCAGAAGCGGTCTTATGCACATGTTGTGTCAGGTTCTGCTCACAGTTTAAACCTTGCGCGTTTAGTGTGAGAATGGGGCTTCTTGCGTGCTGTGTGCAGTCACAGAGGCTAAGCTAGCTGTTGATGGTTAGCAAATGTGAAAAACATAGGCTGGCGGCTTGTTAATCAAGAATATCTCTATTTCTCAGTATATTTTCCTTTTCTTTTGTTCATGTTAAGTGCCACAAAATGACACAACTGGGAACCCGACAATAGAAGCCTTAAACACTCTCTCCCTCACCGCGATCCACAGTGCTGATCCTGATGCTGGGTCGTTTTCATTGAGCATCACTATCATCTGTTCATATTGCTGTACTGTGTTTACTGAGTCCCAAATCTTGTCTGCCAGTATTCATATATGCCCTGTCAGTCAACCACCAGATCACCAATGCAAGCAAGAGGGTGATTTAGGTCCTTCTAGTTCCAACCTGCAGAAAATTTTTTCGAAATAAGTGAGCGACCACCCAACCATCACACTTCCTGTTTGTCCACCTCTGCATCATCTCTGCTCCCTCTCCACTCCAGACACAGCTGGCAAGGAGGAATACATCAAAGAGGCACTCGTGGTGGGGTTTATGCATCCACCCACTTTACCAGCTGGAGCAGGTTTTTCTTTGTATGTAAAAATGATGGTTATCTTCGCCCATACACTGAATATTGTCCTTTGTATGATATCACTGAACTGTTGGCTTCTTTGGAGTTGTACCATTTTTAAAAAAAAATTAAAATCAACCTCTGCACTATGAGGATGGAGATGAGATCAGATTGATTAATGCTGCAACAATATTTCATGCCTTGGTGAATGAAATATTTTCTTTGCGGGGTGTCCTGATAGACGAATGGTTATGGTATGTACCAAAAATGTGCAACCCCCACAGTTTCATTCCAGTCAGGCACCTTTGTTACATGTCTGTCATGTCAAAAACAGCCTTTAAGAACCAGACGCGACGCTTCACGTTTGCTTGGGTTTAAATTCATCCAAAACCTTCTCAACCATTTATCATTGATGTGGATATGCAAGTTGTGGATATTGGAGCTGTCCAGTCAACGTGCTCTTCCACTGACAGTAAGCTCCATACATTCATGGTGTAGACAAACAGCTTTTACATATCTATGGAAATGTACAACGCAAGTCCTGGAAACCAGACTGAAATCTCAGATAAGAGTGATATTACAATCAAAATCACCTTGACCTACTGTGTGTCTGAGCAGTTCCATGAAAACAAACACACACTATTCACCTCACATGCTCTGGTTTATGCCCCTGCTCAGCAACGGTTAAGTTTCCCTTTTTTGGCGACCAGCTGGCCCCTTGTGATGCTCAGTTATCTGCTGGCCACAGCCATCGCTAACACAGAGATTATCTTACAACACATGGCTTCCTAAAAAAAAATATATGACAGTCGCTCACAGACTCACGTACTCACACATACACATGCTCAGACACACACATGCGCCTTAACAAACAGCATTCACAAACCCCTCAGCAGGAATCTTTCAATTATAGCTTGAACAATGAGAGTGTTGGCTCTACAATCTATATTGGATTCACTTCACCATTTGACATGGGCCCATTCTCCAGATTCAATTCCCTGCTCTGGTTTTCCCTCGTGAAAACCTATTATATGAGTCTCTTTCACTTTGTGTATGTTTGAGCAAAAAAAAAAAAATTGTACGTGCAGATTGTACCAACAATAAATTCTACACACTTCAATCATCTGTACAATGTGGTATACAGCATGCTGGTTAGCAGCTCTCTCTTTTCTTTGTTATGAATCTCTTTGCTGGTTGGGTTTTACTCGCGTGTCTACTACAAAATTAATGTGGGACCAGAAATCTGACCAGAAACCCTTATGTTTACCAAATAGGAATGTGAGCCATAGCTTTTGTTTTTCTTTAGCATTAAAACGCTTCTTTGCCTCTAATTTAATTTTGACTGACAATTTAGACAAGCCCAGTTACTTAAGGCAACTGTATGCAGCATTAGTAATAATAATAAATGGGATCTTGATTCAGCCTATTTTCCCTTAATAAAGAGAGATGTTTGGTCACTGGACCTGTGTGTGTGTGTGTGTGTGTGTGTGTGTGTGTGTGTGTGTGTGTGTGTGATGTGGTGATGTTTACAGCAGAGTAGTGGAAACTTTTGGGGAGGGAGGGGGGTCATGTGACCAGCTTTGTCCTCTCTTATTATCTGGCAGGAATGTTTGTGTTAATCCCTTTATCCTCAAAAAGAGAGAGAGAGAAAGAGGCTGAGATACAGATTGAGGAGGGGTGAGAGAGAGAGAGAGAGAGAGAGAGAGAGAGACTTAGAGTTAAATCCTCTCAGTATTCCACTGCTTCTCAGAATCAGAAGAACTGGGGGACAAAGTGTGAGACAAACTGTGAGGGACAGAAAGTGAGACAGAAAAATGGAGGAGTGGTGGTGTGACAGAAACATAACATTCTCTCAACATAAAAAGGAAAAAAAAAACAAAAAAAACAAAACACAAGTGATATGGAAAAACAAGCTAGTGAGGTGGAGTCAGAAGATGGGGAAAACCAGCCAGGAACACAAGTAAGAGTAAGAGTTAAGAAAAGAAGTGACAGTGGTTATAATGACTAATATTTTAGTGTGGAACACAGTGACCTTACAGACAACTGAATGGTTAATGTGTGTCGGGCTGACATGGGAAATGTGATAGTGACATTCATCAGCTGCAATGGACTCTAATACGCTGAAAACACCATTCAAGGTTAAAGTGTACTTCTAACATTGCAGGTTGCAGTGACTTGCCCATGCTAATGTGTCAGCCTGCATGTGAGTGTGTTATCATGGATATTATATGCCCTTGCATTCATTTGCAGATGCAGAGCTGTCAAGCTTTCAGCAGTCTTTGGCCTGATCTAACCTGACAGAGATCACAGTGACCTGCAGGGAGTGTAATGTATCTGAACAACTGAGATCAGTGAGACCAACAAAGAGAGGATGCAGAGCAACCTGACATCTGTAAGGCATTGAAGAAGCTGAGAGAGAAGAGCATAGGATGTGAGGTGAATGAATCAGCATACAGCGAGAGAACTTCAGAAGATGACTTATGACAGATGCAGCACTCTTTAACTATACAACATTATCTGGCACTGACCTGCTGAGGAAGCCTGGGAAGGACAGGCGGACAGGGTATCCATAACGGATCATGCGCACCATCTCAAGCACCCCAATGTACTGCAGCTGGGTAGACACATGGAAGCTGTCAAAACTGTCTGGCTGACCACTGGAGTTGGGGCGTACACACTCCACAAAGTGAGGAGTGCAAGCCTGCAGTTTACTGATGATCTCTGACAGCGAGTTCTGAAAAAAGGAAAAGGAGAGGAGGTACAGCTGGAGACATTCACTAATAATTTTACAATCACAATAACAGATATTATCAAGAGAATGAATAACATGTTCTAATTTTAGTGTTTGGGTTGGAAGAACACTGCGACTGGTCTTGTACAATAAGTACTATAGAAGGAAAGGGAAGCTATCTGACTTTTCTTTAATGTCGTAACTTGAAGTGTGAGCCACAGTGACTGGACTGAGATCACACTGTTTGTAACAAAGTGGTCTGATATTTGGGTGTTTCTTCTCTGGAGGAAAAAAAAAAACAAAACACAAAGAGCTCTTTGCTCTTTCTATTGGTGTGTGAGCGTGAGGAAGCTTTTCTTCAAGCTCTGAATTCACAGATGCCGCATCCAAGGTCACACAGACACACACATATACCCACACATCCACATACAAGTAAACACTTAAATCTTTGTTTTTGCCACGCCTCAAACTGACGTCAGTATATGCACTGCATACCCTTAGGTACAATGCTAAACACCTCACCCCTCATCTTTGAACGTCACCACCAGCATTCCCACTCCCTCCAAATGTGCGTATACACACACACGAATGCGTGTGCATGGCACACAGTGGTTGTTGTTCATTGTTCATTCATTCATGTGGAGGGCTTCACGTTTGGCTTGGTACAGCATCATTTTTCAGCCCACTCTCTCCTTCTCTGCCATTCCCTGAGGGACTCATCGACCACAAGCCCACAACTCTGATTGTGCAACACACTGGCTTCATTCAGACCAAAGGTACTTCTGTGAGCACATTTCAGTCTCCCTACGGCACCAGCAGGTACTTAGTGGATATTCAGTAAAAATAAAGACAAAGGTCAAAATAAACCAACTGGTTTTGTCTGATTGTCATCATAACATCATAACTGTCATAATAACACATTTTTCTATTGACCTTCCCTAACAGTACCACTAAGCAGATGCTTAGACAAAAACAAACACTACTGGAATCTGTTGCTCTTACCAGGAATTAATCAGGTAACAATAAGAAAGAAAGAAAAGAAAAGTTGGTTTTCCATACAGGTTGTTGAATGGTTTAATTGTTAAGTTGTAGCAATTTTTAACTAGTATGAGAGAAAAGCCCATGCAGACTGGAATGATTCTTACCCTCAGCTGGACAGCCACTGTGATGGGCCCACACCGCTCTAGTCGTTGGAGGAAGGAGCTCGAGCCTTTCTTCTTCAAGATCTGACAATGGAAGGAGATGATAGGGAGAAAAATATCAGACAGCTGTACATCTTACTTCAAGTGGCATCTGAAGAATCTGGAACACACTGTATATACAACAGAATCATCTCTTATCATCAAATTGGGCTGTGTGGCTTTGACAAGATGCTGTATAGGATTTTTGCAATCAAACTAAACAATTCCACTGAACCATTTTTGAACCATTTTTTAGATCCTGACTGTCCATACGTACTGTCCAAATGTACTGTCTCTGTACACACAACCATCTATTGCATGTCTGTCCTGTCTGAGGAGGGATCCCTCTTCCAGGAGTTTTCCCTATCTCATTCGAGGGTCTAAGGACAGAGGGTGCTGCATGCTGCACAGATCGTAAAGCCACCTGAGGCAAAATTGTGATATTTGACTATAAAAATAAAACTGGCTTGACTTATACCGTCTTATTTACAGTCTTACACAAAGTGCAGCATTGCAATATTGCCTAATGTTACTTTATAAGGTTGCTGGGACAGTTTAGAAAAGAAAGGTAAAGAATATTGTTACCAGGTGTGTGATTCTGAGTTTTTCTATTAGTGTGTCATGAGAAAAGTGTATAATCACAGTCTTATCCCGACTGTGCACATGTGCATACATGCTCGTGGATTTTCTAGCTCTTCACAGGGCCGTACAAACAAATCCAATTCTCAGAGGTTTATATATAGCACAGCGATGGGAAGTATCTTAAATTAGACTGTTGTTTTTTCCAAAAATACTATCCCTGTTTTTCCCATTGATCAGCACAGCAGTCAGTTGCCAGTTGGAACAAAACGCCTCTGACTGATTGTCACATTCTGACTGTCTGTGCTCCTTGAGGTGATCAATTCCTATATTTAATTTATCTAGTTTCAGAGTAGTGGGATCAATATTCTTTTGAGAATATTGAGAGATATGCAATACAAATCTATTGGAAAAATGATAAAAATATATTTAATGGACAGAAAATTCAAGTCTTGAGGCTCAAGTTTAGGTTGCAGTCGGATGTAACTACAGGTACAGAACAATAAAACACTGCACTCACTACACTGTGAACAGTGTACTGTACCTTGGTAAGGTCATGGTACCGCCGAGACTGTTGGGGGACAGAGCTGGCAGTGAATAGAGAGGCTGATGGCGTCCTGTGGAGCAACAAGGCAGCTTTAGGCCCCCTCAGCCCTATGCGGCCGTGAGCTGCTGGCACCAGAGAACCAGTCTGAGTCAGCTTGGACTGGAAGAGCTGCTGCAGCAACACACTCTCACTAGCTGCCGGGCACAAAGCACAAACGTAGAGAGAGGGAGGAAAACAAGAGTGAAAACAAGCAACGGCATTGGTGGAAATAAGGGGGTGGAGGAGAATAAGAAGAGGTGGGATGAAGAGATATAAAGAAAGAAAGGAGGGAAGAACAGTGAGAAGGATGTAAACAAGGAGGGGAAGAAGGATCAGAGGAGTGAGGGTGGGGAGGGCGCATAAAGTTAGGTTCCATGTAAACAATCAGTCAGGCAACAAGAGGGGGTGGACTATGCCACTCGACAACACGTGGAGCGTTCCACAACAACAATGAGCTCATTCAGAAAAGCCAAACAACATGTGTGTGAACGTGGGCGTGTGACTTCTTTCTGAAAGGCTGAGAAAGAGAGAGAGAGAGACAGAATGAGAGAGAGAGGGAGAGAGGAGGAAAGGATGACAGGTAGGCATACTAAGCAAAGAAAAACAAACATAAGTCGGACTCATTTAAGGACTTAATTACACACAGCTCTAAATAATTGTCTGTTCGTTTAAAGCAATCATCGCCACCACCTGAATATTGACTTACATAGATGCCTTTGGCCTCCTATTAGCTTTAAGGTTTAAACTCAAAGAACAAAACCACACTGTACGTGTGTCAATGTGTGTGGATGAAAGGCAGCGAGGCATCTCAGTCAGAAGGAGGGATAACAGCCAAGTGTGAGTGAAGGGCTAGCTTTGAGAAGATTAGCCTCATCATGGAAATTGTAGCAATTAGGCTGCTGGACGCAAGGCTAGTCTGGCAGTCACACAACGACTGCCTGTGTCACGCTAACCACAACACCCCACATCTGGCACCTTCTATAGACAATATACACACAGACGGTGCTGTCTGCCGCATATGGGATGAAACGTGCACACATACAAACACGACCACACTTAGACAAAGAGTGGTTTTGTGCGTTGTTAGCTTAGACAAGAGTGCATCTTTGTCATCGAGTGTGCACTGATGCCACAATGTGCTTATATGTGTGTTATTGATTGGGTACTTACATTTCATCGTAAACAAGAGATTCTGAGGAAGGAAGTCTTTGTTTCTTGTGAGTGATCCCGTGAGGTCATATGAAATCTGGTGGAAAAACAAATTATTTATGGACATTCACTTAAATTCTCAAATAGTACATTTACTCTTCTATGCAACATAAAATAGTCATCAATTGGAAATTTATATTTACCTACATCTTTGTAAAAGCACCAATCTGAGCTCCTTTCACTATAAGATGTGGAAAATCTCTATATATCTTCTAGCAGGAGGGTGTTGACCTGACACAACAGCGTTTTTTCTAAATTTCACAGACGCAACACAGAATCCCTTTTTAGTTCTCACTGTCATGATGAATGTGGCCTTCGTAAGGCAGAGTACGAATCACAAAGAAACAACCAATCAGGTGCTTGTGTTTTTGGAGCATTTGCGCTCTAAAACAGAGAAAGTAGATTAATGCAATGTAAATAAGCAGAAGTGCTTACTCTAATTCAGATAGATAAATGCTTTATCTCCAGTAAACACGATGCACAACAAAACTAATGTGAGTGCACGAGTGAAGTGCATGAGCATGAGAAAAGTTACAACAGAAAATCCCACATTGGGGATGTTTCAGATGCAGCAGTGTATTACATAAGTGTTTGCTAAAGCCACTCCCTACACTAAAACGTCCTACAGAAGGATTGAGATAAGGTAAAGCATAAATATGGTATTCAAATCTACCTATGTTATCTGTTGTAAGAGGTGTGAAAAAAGCCTTTCTGACAGCTTTTCTGTTTTAGCAAACCTTCACAGAGAATATGTAAAATAGATGAATACAGTCATAATATAGGATTTCTCTGTTTATCATTCAGAAGTACGACTCAAATGCTACCAGCCTTACCACCTCTACAAACATATATAAATGTAACACGGGCACACCTGTCCAGCGTAGTGGTTGACAGTGAAGGCTGGACCCTGGTCTTTAGGTGGGGGGTTTCCATTGCCATCCTTAGTGGTGAGAGAGAGGCCGTGAGTCGGACTGGAGTCCAGCTGGGCTGACAACCTCTTGTACAGGGTCTGCTCTGCTGGCCGCAGGCTCTGGCTCTCCTCATCTAACACACACAGCAGTCCCTGAGGCTTCTGGAGGAGGAACAAACAAATACTCATATGTTATTTATGTCAGTCATGCTCAGAACATGTCCTAGTACCACTTTTATTGATCCCCCCTTGGGCAGACTTGACCCTCTGATATCAAATAGCTTCAGTTATATTTTGTTTTAAAATTTTTTCAGGCATTTCAGCCATTAGTGATAATATAATAGTAGCCGCAATCAAACCAGGTACATTTTTGCAATTATGGTGTACGCATCTTAACCCCTAGACAAGTCGTATGCCAGTCTGATTTTTATCAGTTACATTTTTGCTGTCCCAATTTCAAATGAAATCTAAATTAGGAAAAAAGAGAAAGAGCAATTTGCTTAAACCATTTCTAACTCTGAAAAAGAGACAAAAAAGAAGAAAATCTGACACAAAAAGCAACTTTCTTAAGTGATGAAACTGTCCGTAACTTTAATTTAGTCGTGCGATTGTTAATCTTTTGTCAAAGCTCGGGGTAGGCTTGCAATTAGAATATGACACTGGACTGGACCAGTCCTAACCAGAAACAGTACCTGAAGAAAGAAATCCAGAACGGCAGACTGGGTGCAGGGGGAGTGTGCGGTCTCCATGGCAATGCCCTCCTGCAGACACTCAGCCTGCTCCTGCTTGAATAGCACCTCAGAGACGTACTGCCTCAGCCGCTCATTGGTCATGTTCACACACAGCTGGAATGCACCAAACAGACACGTACACACACACACATCAACCTGTAAGCAAACACTTCAATGCACATGGTGAAGTTCCTCAGAGACACGCTGCTGAATGTTTGTTTTTAGAGCAAACAAATGCATGAATACAATCTCAAACATAAACTGCTGTGGCACCAACAGGGAAGTCAATGGGGCATAAATTAACTGACTGACAACTCATACAACACACCTGACCCTGAAATTATGAGAACTGCTTACAGGGGCACATCCTGCATGGTGCACACAGCAATGGGCGTCCCCCTGTATGGCCTTTCTGCTACCCCCGCAATAATATGGAGCAAGTGTTCCTGCTGAGACACATGAACTCTTCCTAACCCAGCAGTCAACCAATCACAGCACAGGGAGGAGTCAATCAAATGGGTTTTGTCTAGTATGTGTGCATACTTCAGTTGTACTTCAGTTAGGTGTTCCTCTTTTCAACCCAGGATCTCATGCGTCTATCCTTTGAACTCTAATATCTTTCGCATCTAACAGGAGAAAAGTTGCTAGACCAAGAAAGACGTCCAAGCCAAGGGATAAAAACATGAAACTTGACGGTTAGGTGATAATAAGCAGCTGAAAAATAATGTCAAAATGAAAATACTCATGTTGTATTCAGTGCCCTGCAGCCCTTAGCTTCGGGGTAATGTTTACATGATTTACCCATTCACTGCAAAGACTGAATGCTTATTTGATGGACATGTGAAAATCATAAATAAACATGGCTGAGTTGCGCTTCCGAGCTGTGCTATGACCTACATGCTGTCTAACAGCCTGCTGGATTGAGAAGTGCTGATTTAGATGTGTAATTCTCTGCTGCAGACAGACTATAGCCCTGTTTCTCTTTCATCGATGTTAGTCTGCGCTTTGTTTTCAGCGTAGTCTAGTCTATTAAAGGCTCAGTCCCAGCAGGTGGTTGATTGAGTTAGCTCATTAGCAAAGTGCTGAGCAGGTACAACATACCCCTGACTAGCACAGCTCTAATTAACAAGCACTAATGACCCTGATCATGCTGCGCATGTGGAGCATGCCTGTCTACCTATGTGTCTGCACGTGTGCGGATACATGTGTGTACAAACATGTCAGGACTTGTTTGTCACTGATGTGCCACATCTACTGTAAGTGATCATCGTGTTTGTTTATCCAGAGCTTGCTCCTACCCCTCTCCTCTCTGTGGGTGGTGGGTGATTTGTGTGTTTTGACCAGGCTGATATTAATAGGCAGCTGAGCAGCAACAATGGAGAGGATGTATGAGGTAAAGAGGCAGCATCGCCGCCACCTGCCAGAGATAGTTTCTCCTTTCTTGCTCATTTTGTTCCTCTCTCTTCCCTTATGGTGCTCGCACTCTCTGTGACCTGAAGAGATAAGGTTATGCAATCCCTCACTTCGCTCTTGGATTAGAGAACATCCAGAGGTAGAGTAAGGCCACTGACATCTTAGTGCCTCACACACACGAACATCATAGTCACACACACATGCACAAAAGCAAAGACAAACAGTGGCCTAAATAAAAGCTGGGGGATGGCTGGTGGCTCCAAAGGAAGGGAACGTAAACTATGAGTAGCAGGAATAAGCACTTAGCCTCTTGAGCACTGTGAATTACACCCGAAGAGACCCCTCACATACACATGCAGTGACATATGGACTTGTCTTCCTGATCCCTGTTGGTCTTACAATAGAGGAGTCTAATAACAGTGCATACTTGATGAGCACATAGCAGATTTACAGCCCATAACATGTGAGCTGTGTAGAGCTGCACATGTTGTACTCTCTACACTATGCAATCTAATCACACACACTGACGAACTGAAAACAAGCAGTGTTGACATGCTGTTCCATGTGTGCACACATAATGTACAAATATACAAACAGGTACAGAAACATGCTCTCAGTAGGGAAAAACACAACGGACAAAAAAAATAATTAAATAAATAAAAATTATTAAAAAAATTTAAATTTAAATTCATATTCTTCATCAAGTTCAATTCCCAAATTCCAAAAATGTATTCCTGTACATTATAAAAAATGCCACTGCTTCTCCTCGCTTAATACACTAATTTAGTACAGTCGCATGTAGCTGTTGTATGATGGTATGGAAAAGGAAAAAACTACATCAACTAGTGCAGTCGCAGAAAATTGTTGAATATTGTCAAAATGAAATTCCCAACACAAAACGCAGGCACAGACACAAACACACACTGGTTTGAAGCTGCGTATTACGTCTAACATCTCGCACACAGGCAGCCATTGTTTCAGCCGTCAGTTCATCTGAGGACAGCTGAAAATCACGCCACAGTCTGCCACAGACCTCACCTCATTCATTACAATTACAGACTAAAATGTTCAGGCTAAAATAGATAACAGCCCAAAATATTTTAACAATTTGATTAAGATCTCTTTGAAATTACAATACCACATTCTATTCTGGGAGATTTTTATAGCTCAGGATGGCCTTCCAAACCAATGACATTATTCTGGGAATGTCATAAATGCACTCGGGTTAATTAGAAGAAATTATCACTAGGCTTGAAGAGAACAAGAACACAACATTGATGGGTTGTTTTGGGGGCTGGGGGTTGCTGAAATCTAAAAATAGTAAGCACTGTCCCACCTGCTCAAATCCATTTCTCTGAAATTCTTCAAACCCAAATATGTCCAAGATCCCAATTTCCAGGGCAGGATCACTGGAAGACATAAATTAAAAAAACAAAAACAAACAAACAAAAAAAACAGGATTAAAATGAGAACTTATCTGCTTGCTTTGGATCATTCTGAATTAACATGCTTGTCTGCAGTGTCTGTGTGTGTGCAATAACACTTCTGGAGGGGATGTGCCATTTGACAAATGTATTACATTCTGTGGTTCGTGCGTAAACAAGGCAAAGCACAAACACATTCCAGAAGATGTAGCCTGGGTTATCTAACAGAGTGTGATAAGACTTCCCAGCATCAACAACACCAAGGATCCTATGGCCTCCACCTGGGAGTGTGTGTGTGTGTGTGTGTGTGTGTGTGTGTGTGTGTGTGTGTGTGTGTGTGTGTGTGTGTGTGTGTGTGTGTGTGTGTGTGTGTTTGTTTATGCATGCCTTAGGGTGTTTTCACTGTAAACCACTAGAAAAATTTCTGTGGAAGCTCAGTCCGTTGATATCTATTATCACACACAACACTAATGAAGTATATCTGTCATCACACACAAGCAGTAACTCAGTCAGGGCCTGTGGGCTGACACAACTGATAATGAAACTTGACACAAGGTTTGGAGTGGGCGTTTGTAATAGTTTATATTGCATGACATGCAGGAATAGGCATCTACACTGAAATGGAAAATAATGAACAACAGCGTAGAGGTGTGGAGGACACACCCAAAATTGGTCGCACACGCACACACACACACAACTATACCCAATGCTGTCGTCCTGTCCCTGAAGGTAGTCGTTGACACTGTTGACCAGATAGCTGAAGAGGCGTCCATAGATGGCCTTGGCAAGCTGGTCTCTGTACTGCTCTGACATTTCTACTGTGTGGCGCCGAGTGATCATGTCACCTGACACAAAGAGAACATGGTAACACAATTTCTGGCACCTGACAATTCGGATGACAGCAGTTACAGTACAGTATTTATGAGGTTCATTTTAACAAAGTCCTTCTACGACTAGAACTAATTCTTGCTAAAGAAAGACCCATACATTTGCATGGCCAATAGTGCTGGCTGACTTTTTCTGATCACAAACATTATTATTTGCATCTATGTTAGCTAATTTGCAGTACAAAATATCCAAATATATATTTTTTAATTTAGACATAAATGTTGTAGTTTTCATTTGTCAACGAGAGACCACTGACCAGTTTATTTTTCAATGACAAAGTGTCTCTCTCTTTCTATATCTTATTTTTAAACTAAACTAAATATTACCTGTTGATACAGCACCTGTATCAGCCTCAAAAACTTCAACTTCAACTTCAGGTCAGACTCTAGTTCTTGCTGCTGACCATCCGAGGCTATTCGATCTTACAGATAACGAAGAATCCCAATGTGATTTCCCCCCTTTTTTGCCAATTTGGAATTTCCTATTCTCTATAAATTGTGGTCAGTAGTCACCCTATAACTGGCACAAGACACACGCCTAAGCATCATCCTGCTGTTTTGTTGAAATGTAAGTTGCTGCATCTTATTAAAAGCTCTATTTTTTTCTCTATTTCTACACTGCTGAGGTGTTTCCTGATGGCGAGGGCTGGCGAGTTGGTACCTTTGAAGAATTGAATGTCAGAGGTGAGGGCTGTGCTCAAGTCACCGGAGGACACCTGCAACATTCCAGCAACTGTGGCGAGGAGGACAAAAAAAGATAAGAGGCAGAGTAAATGGCACTGGCATGATGACAGGATGAAAAACAGCATTCAACATTAACTGAGCATCAGAAAGGTAGTGCTGATAACATCCCAGAACTCAATAGGTTCTGCACAGCTCTGACGATGATATCACGCAGACGGCACAACAAGCTGAGCTCTGCTATTGCTCATCCCTGCTTAATCGATCGGTGGATTGGGGAGCAATTAGTCATCAGTGGATTTCTGAGCAGAGACCATATACGAGCAGGAGAGGGTGACAGCAACCTCGGAAACCCTTTGCTGATATCACAAGCCATAACATCACATCTCCCTGACAACGGCTGGCTCTTTCCCGTTCAGGCGCTGATGTCATTTGTTTATCATCTCAAAAAAGGTCAGGGATCACCGGAGCACATGTAGCGGCTGCATAATGAAAGAGCCAGACAGAGGGAAAACACTGCCCCAACAGTGGGAAAGTGTGTGCATAAAAGCGCTCTTTCCTCACCAAGGTTACGTTTTGGCAGAAAATGCAGCTTACCAAACAGGTGACTTTAGCTAATGCTGGCAAGCTGCCAAGCCGAACTCCAAGGGAGAGAGACGGGGGGGAGGGGCTATGATGACGAGGTAAACAAGAAGAGATAGTGTAATGCGCCCCTCCTCCTCACCACCTCCACACTGGGTGGAAATGTGGCCCTAGTTGTGACGGGGGCACTGACCTCTCTCCAGCAGCTGCAGGTCAGAAGGGAAGGCCGTATTGGCATCTGTCAACGCAGTAAAACGTAGGTCCCCAATATGGAGCACAGCGGACAGCAGCGTAAACACTGAGTCAACCTCCTAGCAGAGAGAGAGAGAGAGAGAGAGAAAGAAAGAGAGAGAGTTGAAAAAAGAAAAAGAGAGAGAGATTGTATTAATCCCTAACTCAAAATAGTCCCCAGCAAATGCACTAGTTAACTCCTGTGTAATAACGTTTGCTAACAGCTACACTTGCCAACTGGTTTAGGAATTTATTTGATATATATTTCAACAATGAAACTCTTTGTTTCTATATAACAACAACTCATTTTCAAACATTTAGGTTTTCAGTAGCAACAAATTGCTTAGGGCTGAGGGTAACAGACAGTGAGGGGATGTCGGCAGCACTGAGAGCCTGACATAAGCATTGTTGGTTTGGTATTTCCATGGGATTTTTTGACAATAACAGAAATATAGAATAACCAGCCTTTTCCTTCTATGTACTGCAAAATACAAAATGGCAAAAAAAAAAAAAAAAAAGCATGAATACCACTTAGAAAATCCAATGCTGTTTTAATAACACCTACACCCTCCTCCTTCCATTCACACACTTCCCACTCTACCTTCCTCTCTGCCCTTGAGTAGAGGACGCTTAATGGAATACCCCATTACCCACTGCTCTGAGAGGGGGATGTTTGAGTTTGAGGGTGTGTGTGTGTGTGTGTGTGTGTGTATGTGTGACTGAATATGTCTACGTGTGCACTCTCTCTCAAGGCAGGATATTGGAGCTGATATCTGGGAGATAAACACAAGCATTAGTCTCTGTCTGACACTGTATACACAGAGAAACCCCCCCCACTTAGGGAGGAGAAGAAAGGGAACGAGGGAGAGAAAAGGAGCGATCGGGAGCGTTAATGACGATTGACCTTTGGGTCTGGACTGGGAGTCGTCCCCTGATGAGAGCTTAGACAGAGACCAATGGGTGTTCTACCACTTCCCCTCCTACTCCCCCATTCCTTCTTCGGTCCCTTGGTCGCTCACTCTTATCCAGTGAACACTAGTGCCCTCTGATAAAAAACACTATCTATCGCTCTGCTCCTCTGTCCCTTGCTTGCCTGCGTGTATTGACTGCTGCTGGATTAAAAGGTGAGATAGTGGTCACTCACTGCTGACAGATGCTGTCTGGGAATATAAGAATAGAACCTGATAATGGCCTGGGAACACAGCTGGTGGAGTACAGGACGGACTGTACCACAACTACTTGCACACTGTAAGCATTAGTCACAAATTTCATAAGGTCTTTAGATAGATAATTGAAACACATGCCGAGTCCCAATTCAGGATCTGGAATCCCAATAAACACACATATCTGTGCCAAATAAGTGTCAACAAATGATGCCTGTCTCATTTCAAATGCTTATAGCGCCTGAATTGGCAGGATACACTTTTCCACTGAGGCCTCTGCAGCTCTCAGCATCCAACAATCCATTATGAAGTGGTCAGTGTCTTAGGTATTACTGGGATGCGACTATTCTGGTCATAACATTTGAAATATTTGACTTACCACATTGTTTTAAAAGCTCATAAATTAACCATTAGTTTTGCCCTTCTTAAGGTTAGAATGTGAACAAGTTGAAGGATCGGCTGTCGCCCTTTGAAGGCCCTATTTCTGTGGACTCTGATACATTTATAGCGTCAGTTTGTCCCAGCAAAAATCTGGGGTTAAATCTCATCACTGACATCATAAGTGGCTTTTTCAAACTCTGTGATATCAATGCTTTGAATTATCCCTGTTCACAAAAACCTTTGAATAAATAGGCTCAACAGAAAGTGTATGCAGTGCCAATCAATACCTGCTTGTTGAAGCCCAGTGCTCGCAGGGCTTGCTTGACTGCTGCAAGGCGTTCTCTGCTCTGGGCGGAGGCCGTAGCTACCGGAGGGTTCTCCCCTGGAAATCTTCCACTGAGATACCTAAAGTAAAGACAGAAAACTAAATAAACATGGACCAATACTTTAGACAACCACAAAAGCAAAGTAAGCATAGAGGATATGCTGAGGTCTGGTTCTACAGTGAGTATAAAATGACAGGGATTCCATTCCATTCTAAACATGTACCCATGTGCTCAGTAGTTAATCGTGTCTTTGAACGGGAGAGACCCACATAAGGGGGTATACAATGTACATTCATGTATGCATGCATGCACAGACTCTCTCTGCGGATATCAAATATGAATGTATTATGTTAATAGGGTTTGGGCTGAACCGTATATTATGACCTCTGCAGCTTTTTAGCAGCATGTACTTCACATAATTAGTAAGGTCTCTAAAACTGATCCTTTTCGTGTCTGAACACTTAAAGCATCATTAAACTGAAGAGCTCTTGTGGGTCAGATCACCAGCTATAACTAACAGTCTCCTTTCGTCAGTGATTTTTGGAACTGGTAATATGCATATGGCACCTGACAGCCACGTACCTATGAGCCAGGACATTGTTGAGGTAAAGTGCGCTCTTCTCCTCAGGCGACAGGCCTTCAGCCATCAGATAGAAGATGCTGAAGTTGTGTTGATGAGGAGGCAGGTGGACCAGACGTGACTTCTCCAGCATGTATGTGTACACACGGGCTTAAACACCAAATGTGAATACTTTAACAACAGGAGTGTGTAAATATAATTTCAGCAGTGTTGAATATAGTTATCGGTACCTAACACAAAATCTGTGTCCACTGTTCAACAGCCAGTGCTCTCTGATCAAATTAACCGGGGTAAAATGAGGTCAGCATGGTCGGAAAAATGGAACACAAATAGAAAACGCCACAGCAGCAGACTGATGAGCTTTTACTGCCCCCTGCTGGTGTTTCACCGCTTTGCATACAATCTTACAGAAAATTATATCTGTACAGTACTGTGTCTTAGTTATACTGTGAATCTTGTGTAGTTTATGTCTACTGTACTTTCATTATAAACTTAGTGATCCAGACTGTGAAAACAACAACAACATGACAATTTGCTCAGTTATCTTTGCAAGAAATATTCTATTCATTTAGTTAATCACAAATAAAAAGGATAAAAAGATCTAAAAAAACTTTTTACTTCAGGTATAGCAAAACACAACCAGAGTATAGACATTTTCAAGAATTAAGTACAATGTTTTGACACTTATGACTTTCTACATGTGGAATAAAAATGACCTTATAGTGACTTGATAAATCGTTCTGACCCATTCACTTTTTGCACACTTTATTGTGTTGTACATTTAATTTCAAATGGTGAAAATCAAAAACTAAAATCTCTCATTTATCTAACCCTTAATTCAGTATTTTGTAGAAGTCCCTTTGGCAGCAGTTACAGCTTCGAGTCTTCTTGGGTGAGTGTCTACAAGCTTTGCACACCTGGATTTAAGCAGTTTATCCCATCCTCCCCGGCAGATCCTCTCAAGCTCCGTCAGATTGGATGGGAAGTTTCTGAACTGCCATATCCACCTTTCTCCTAAAATGTTTTATGGGGTTTAAGTCTAAGCTTTGCCTGAGCCACTCAACAAGGGCAGTCAGAGACTCCTCCTGAAGCCACTCCAGCATTGTCTTGGCTGAATGCTGCAGGTCACTGTCATGCTGAAAAGTGACTCTCAGGTAGCGTGGACTCTGGAGCAGGTTTTTTTTTTTTTTTTTTTGAGGGCTTCTGTATTTGGCTGCATTCATCCTTTCTACAATTCTGACCAGTCTCCCTATTGCTGCTGCTGAGAAGCTCCCCTTTCTAAACTATGTCTGAATAGTTCAGTTTGCCACAGATGGACCCCAATCAAGTTGTAAGTACTGTAAATAATAAAATCTCAATTTGGAGCGGCCCAGCAAAGGGTCTGAATGCTTTTGTCAATGAGAGATTTCAAGTCTCTAAAAACATGCTTTCATTACTCATTGTGGAATATTGAGCGTGGATTGATGGGAAATTTTACCCACTGAAAATTATATCTACAACACAATAAAGTGTGCAAAAAGTGAAGTCTAAATACTTTCTGAAGCCACCATACATGAAATTGAAAGTAAGTAACATCACATTCACATCCGGTGCTATAGTGACAGAACTGTAGTTTACCTCTGAGCAGTGTCCTCCTCTTTTGACAGTACTGAATGGTCAACAGCTTGGTAAAGCGGCTTGAACTGTTGTTCCTTTGGGTCTTTGCATGACCAAAAGCCTCCAGAATGCAGTACACCTGTATATGATATCAAACCAAGAGAAAAGTTCACAGTGCTTTACAATATCTTTTAGAGTGATGTTTACTGCGGTGTAAATATGTTCTGTTTCCATCGTCTTTTCCAATAATGAAATCAATTTACCTGTAGTATCTCTAGAGCTGAAACTAAATGAGTTCTACTCCCATTCCACTTTCTACCACTAGATGTCAATATGCATCCATTATCTGGGTACTGAGTATTTTTTCTGTCCCAGGATGATCAGAGAGCGAGCTGACCCAGATATCGACGACATGGCGATGACTTCATCAGAACACAGCACTTGCACTTCCAGGCTAGACACTGCTTTGGTACTAACTGACAGACTGATTGCAGAGCAGGTGAATCGTGTGTTAAGCATCACCAACAAATACAAGAAGAGGAAGTGATATAAGTGCTGACCTATATGACAGATTTTTCTTTTCTATCTGTTTTTCATATACAGAGGGAGGGGGGGATACGAAATTCGGAGTCTGCTAAAACATTTTTCTTCTTTCATTAAAATATGCCAAAGTATTTTTCTCTTCAAAATGAATGTTTTTCGATTGTAGCATCTCCTGATTAACTGGAAAATGATGGGTACTTGTTGATCTTCTGTACTCTACTTTTATTATTATTTTACCCAATTCTCCTTCTATAGGCTGAAAAAGAGAAGAAGAAGAATGAACTCTCATCCAAGAATAATGCACAAACAATTTTCTCTGCTGCAAATGGTTCCGTCCTAAAGAACGAGCATCACAGAGATAGAGACAGCGTAGCAGAAATTTTAATGATGCAATCAAACACGGGGTCTGAATGCTCAAATGGTGTCTGACAAATGAACAGCTATCGAGCACAGAGGAAAAGACTACAAGCAATGGCTCCATACTGTGGTGTGGTAATCCATAGATCTATTCTCTCCCCCCACTACAGCAACAAGGAACAGCAAGATGCCTGCACACACACCTACGAACACTACTTCACTGAGTGCTATCGGATTTTTTTATTACAGAGATGACATGGGGGGGTGGAAAAATAAGCACAATAAGACAGGATGTAAGATTCAGTCAGTGCCTCGCTTTGAAGAACACAAAAATATTCATGCGTTTCTCACTGAGGACTCATTGTGTTGAGCATGGAAATAAAAAAAAAGCACAGATAAGATTATTTTCTAGCAATTTGCCTTTTTTGCAAAGTCAAAGCAAAAGTATATGAGAGCAACAAAGGAATCAAGACTCATGCCCAGGACACAGCAGTTACATCACATTTACCTTAGACAAAAAAGCCTCCAGGACAACCCATCTGAAGACTGCTTGAAGTGTAAAATAGAGGAGTATCTTGCAGGCAGACTTACGTGTTTCATTCTGGGATCCAGTGCGAAGCCTTTGGGGCTGGAGCGGGCCGTCAGGTGTCTCAATATATGCTTACATGCCTCTGATTTGCCAGAACCACTTTCACCGCTATAAAGAGAGAAAATATAGATTCTTTGTCATTTATATTTTAGGTAATGTCATTATTGTTTTACATGTTGTCATGTTTCTTATTGTTTCATTTCTTAGTGTTGCAGTGTTTTATGCTGCTATAATGTGCTTTCAATTATGAACAATTCAGTTGTGCTGTATAATATAGTAAAATATTATATACAATATTATATCAAAAACTATACAATGAACTTGCTTTATGGTGATACATGTATTTAAATTTTAAAAAGCAATAAAATTAAAAGACCATTAAAGGAAGCTAGTAATCAGGTATAAAATGCAAAACTTAACAGTATAAAATCTGTTTGTTACTTTGTGTGTTGCACTGCTCTGTACACAGAAGAATAGGTGTGATGCTTTAGTCATCAGGGTGTTTCCTACACATCCCCTCAGTGACATGTCTCCGCCCACCTGACATCACCCCTCCAGGGACCCCTTTCCATTAAATTTCCAATCTATTTCTCTGTCTAACACCACTAACATTGCACTGTTGACCACCGCTTTTCACACGCTGTTACTGTTACAACTTATCTGACACTGGAGTCCCGTTTTTTAATTTGGCACTGGGTGGATATTAAAGCTGACATAAGGTACCTCTACAGTACATGCTCTGACACTCACCGACATGCAGAGAGTTGAGACTGACGTAGTAACACTAAGCAGATGGCTTCAGAAGGTCAGAAGCCCTTACTAATGGCTGCAGTGTGCTGTGGTGCACTGTTTGCCTGTGAGTATGTGTGTTGCTATATTTCCTACTAATGGCCCTGCTGAGTGTGAAGTCTAAAGGCCTTTTCAATGTCTTTTCATTTACCAGTTTTTATTAGATTTCAAGGGCATTTTGTTAGAGCACCGGCCTCTGGGGATCATGGCAGCTGATTGCCTGTAAACTTGTAGGAGCATGTGACTGTGTGTGTTCTTTAGTGTGCAATACATGTGAGCAGACACAGAGAACAGCAACAGAAAGCTTGAACTACAGAGAAATAAGAAAAAGGATTGATAAAGTGCAGCAGGGAAAGAATGAGAGAGTGAGTGTACATGCAGACGAACAGCACAATGCCCCTGCATGCCTGTGTGTGTGTGTGTGTGTGTGTGTGTGTGTGTGTGATTCTGTGTGTGAGTGAGATGGATAGCCTGTGGCCAGGGCGCATTAACTCTCTGCCAGATTGGTTACAACTCAGCGGGAATGTCACTGGAGAGCCGGAACGGGATTTAATTGCAATCAGGGAGCTGCCTCCGTCCAGCCAAGGACAAAGAGCAAGACGCTGTAGTGCTCCCAGCAAACATTCATCTCTGTGTGAACGGTGAACAGGTCTCCAGCTCAGCTCAGGGTGAGATCTATTAATCTCTCAGGGAGTGTTTAACAGGTGTGTGGCATTAGGGTGTGGACAAACCAGGTGGCCAGCTGAACTTGCTGACATTTTTGTCTCACCATCCCACTACACAGAGTTCAGTGTTTGAGTGAGGTGAGGGAAGAGGGGGGGGGTACCTTAAGATGAAACACTGCGGGCGTCTCTCCTGCAGCATCATGTGGTAAGCTCTCTCTGCTGAGGAGAAGATGTGAGGGGGCAGAGAGGAGCACAGACGACCTGTGGAGCTCAGGTACAACTGACTCACCTGAGAGAGAGAGAGAGAGAGAGAGAGAGAGAGAGACACACACACACACAGTCCATCAAGACATTGAGTAACAACCTTATGTAACATGGATACACGCCTGGACTAAGCAACACAGACGGTTAAGTTTCAGCAGAACAGTGAAACCATACTGCATATAACTTAACATATGTGTGTGTCCAGCTCAGTAACAAGGTGTAGTTTACCGCTGATTCTAAACAAGTAGTTCAACAAAACAGCCACCCCTTTAAACACATAAGCTATGGGTGACCCTGCGACTGTTACTGGTTTACTTTAAAACAATAACCCATAAGCCAACAGATGCTCTAATAACTTCATTCCACGCCATGTCAGTGTGACAGAAAAAAGTAAAAAGACTTTCTTTGCCTCTGTCTTTTTTAGGGATTTAAAAACACCTCATTGAATAATATATCGCAACACAAAAATAAAACAATATGCATTATGGAGCTGAACGTTAACTGCAATATTTTATTCTTCAGTTTAGTTTTAACTAGATAAGGATCTTTTTCTAAAAAACTGCTTTTTTAAAAAATCAGGAATGGTAAATGTTAGGAATGATGAACTCTTACAAAGTTGCACAATTTATCCATAAGGGTGGTTAAATAAGGAATTAATAAGTCGTAGTTTTAACTTTGTGAAAAACATAGTAAGTGTATCAGGCAGTGAGCCCTCATTGTCTGTCACACTGAAGTGTGAGATAACTGTGCTGTAACACCCCTATCTGTAGCCAGACCAGCAGATGTGTGCCAGTGCTGTGTCTGTGGCGATAGAGGTGGGAAGGAGGATGGGCTGTGGACCACCACTAGACCAGAGGGGGTGACAGACGACCAGCAGATCACACATGTTGTGACATATGTCCTTCTCACCCTGGCTCCTCCCTGATCCTCCACACACTTCTCTCAGTTGGGTACAGATGCCTGGAGTGAATCCAGACACAGGCAGGAATGGGACTGCCAGAGGGGGCCTGGCTTCATTCTGTCATGGCAGTAGAGGATGTCTCCTCCTCCATTCAACCCCTCCTGGGCTCACATGGGCACACACTAAACTGGCATTAATTCAGCTATTTCAAAACGGGTCATCCAGTATTTAAACTAAGAGTGACACATGTTATGAAGAACCAGAGCCTGTCAGTCATTCACTAACAGTCTCCTCTAGTTGTTAGAAATGTTAATGTGCTGCTTTTCACCAATAGCGATAGTGTTTTTAAAATTAATTATTTATAGTGGAGAGGTAGCGAAATAAACGTGAGTCTGAGAGCAAGTGTGTGTGTGTGTCTCGCTAAACTGGATCCCTCTATTTCCTGGCTGATGTGGAGTCAGCCTTATGCCGTGTATCACTGACAGGAAGACTGCATTATTTATCAACCACAAGGTCCATTTCATCTGTTCATACTCTGCTTATTATACAGCAAACATCGCCTCCTTATAGCGTGATTTTGCATGTAAAATGCAAAGCATTTCCAGTGCAAAGCCAAAGGTTTTAGGCAGGTATCATGGTGTACTTACACTTGCAAATTTAATATTAGGAGACCGAAGAACAGCATATCACGTAAGCTTATGTGAAATAGAGGTCATTTAAATGCATGCTTACCAAAGTGGAATAGATGGGCAGCTCTTTATTTGGATTGACCAGCAGAAGGATGTGTCCAATGTAAGTCTAAAACAGAGCACAAAAACATACCCAAGTCATCTTCAACTCAGTAATTCAGCTGAAAACAAGAAGTTAATCCAATATCATAAAACATTGAACTTTGGGGTGTGAGGTGGCGCAGTTCTGCTTCGGTGGACAGTTTTGACAAACTGCTGGGTTTTAACCACTTACAGATTACCCAAGCTAACACTGACCTGGAAACAGAAGTGCTGTGATGCTCTTTTCTTAACATCAATATTCATGTTGGTGACTACCTCTATTAACATAAGGATATGGTAATTTCATGACAGAGGAAGGTCAGTAGGGGGACCTTCAATGATAACCTCAGTAATGACCTTTCTCCAATAAAAAAAAAAACAACATCCACTCCCACATAGTTTACGCTCAGACCCCAAGGCCATTTAGATAAAAATAACCAACTCTCAATTTCTGACCCTTTCCACTAAACTGCTAACACTCGGTTTCTCACAAAGACTCCTGGAGGCTGTTTGAAAGCTTACACTGTCCCCTGGGAAGGCACAGGCATTGCTAACATTCTGTAACATGCTGCTCTGTCCTTAGGCCCTGGCTCAAGGTTAATGACTTGAACAAATTCCCACTGCTTGCAGACAGAGGGAAATTCTCTCAACTTTTCTGCAGTTTTGTGTTTTTAACTGGGTAAACTCGTTTGAAAATACTGAGCCACTTTTCCTCCCAAACTCTTTCACTTAATCTCATGACATGCTTGTCAAAAATCCAGCCTTCATCAATGTCTTCTCTCATATCCTTCCTCTGTTCCTTGCCGCTCTCCTCTGGGATTTAGCGGTACACTGGTCCTTCTATCCTGGCAGAAGGCAGCAGATCACTCATCAAAGCCCCATCTCTGACCACCCTGCTGGGAACATATGGAGTGTTCACTGCCTTTGTCCACTTGCTGTTTCTGTCCTTCACCGCTTTCTTCACCTCTTTCTTGAAATGTCCTCTATTACTGTAAGCACGTAAGGTCAACCACATCAGATATAGAAAAGGGAACGATAAGAAGGGCAGAAAACACAGAGAAATTAAATTAATTGGCCAAATGAAAAGCGTAAATTACAAACTTAAACTTAAAGCCAAGACACTTACCTGGCTTTGTCTACATTTATGTCTGGACCACAATGCATTACTGTGTCCTGTACACCTCCATGACAGGAGATTTATACACAATCAGATCAAGCTTGCTCCAATATACTTATTGTAGCTGCACTTTGTCAACTTACTCTTTTTTTTCATCACTTCTTCCTCCAAATGGACTTCAACTCAGTATCCAGCCCTCATTATGCTGAATTCTAATCATTTCTCTTTTCTTCATCCACCACTCTACTTCCTTTTATTGTCATCCCCTTATCTGTGTCCCCTGCTGTGGCTAACCCTACTGTCTGTCGCCCATCTGGGTTTCCATAATAACAGACTATTACTGCCTCTTCACAGAGTAGAGCGCGCACCGGATAGCTCCACATTGATCTGGTTCCAGTCTTTATAGAGCTCAGTCCCAGTGGAGAATTATGTGCCAGACCACAGTTTTCAAGGGAAGGAGAAAATGACAGGAATATGAAATGGACCAATTGTTGGAGATGAATGTATTTTACTCCTGAATATAGTTATGGATTTATCTTTCAAATTGATCTAAATTGTATTGATTATGCAGTTGTCATCAGTGTAAGTATGTGTGTGTGTGTGTGTGTGTGTATGTGTGTGAGCGCCTGTGTGTGTGTGTGTGTGTGTGTGTGTGCTTGTGTGCGTATGTGTGCGTGGGCTTATGTGCATGTACGTTAGAATTAGGCATCACTCTTACCCAAGTCAGTGAGCCGGAACAGAGAGGGCAAGGGAGTCAGCTCATGAACATCACCCGGTGCACAGACTAAAGCCTTTACTACATATCCACTGCCAGTCAAGGACTGTAGCAGTAGCCACAGGTCTCAAATATAAATATTATTTGCACAATAGGTTCTAGAGCTTGAGGAGGTACAGTATGTGTGATGCCCTGTGTGAGCTGTATATAAACATGTACATATGCTGGAGGAAAGTAGAGAAATAGAGTATGTGAGATGTGATCTGAACATCGCATCCAAAAATTCCCAAACCATAAACAACACAACACTCCACTACACATAAACAACTACAGTCACCCAGTTATGCCCGAGAGACTGAGAGAGAGAGAGAGAGAGAGCATGTGTTTGCCTTTCTCTGTCTTCTCTGTGTTCTGTGTGCGCTCAGTGTTCTAATGCATGTTTAATGTTGAGTGGTTTAGTGGCACAAGGACAGTGGAGACTCACATAGATTTGGTCATTGCCAAAGCGCTTCTGCATCTCGTAGAGCAGGCTGCTGTCGGTCAGCTCGCTGAGGGATGCCAAGTCGTCATTAGGTGCCGGAGGCATCAGCTTGACCTGAAGAGAATGCAGGGCAACAGTTAAAATGAACATGCAATGATAAGCTGACAAAAAACACACAAAAGTAACAAATGTAAAATGTGAAATCTCTCTTTTATCCGTTTTTGAAATTATCTATGTTCTTACTATCTAACTGTGCAGAAGAAACTGTAAGAAGATGAGGTACCTGCTCCAGTTTGCTGGCTCCAGAGCTAAAGGGACCATCTAAACAACTGTCCTGAGAGGGCTGTCCGCACAGCGCTCCACCTGCCTCTCTGAACATGGCACATTTTTCCAACAGACTGTCCCGCTTAGAGATTGGGAGATACAAGGGGTTCCTATATATGATCAGGACAGTCAAGGAGATGGAAAAAGCACAGCAGGTGGAGGGACAGGAAGCATGTTCAGAGCAAAGTGGTGGATGAGAGAAAGAGGGGAACAAAAAAAAACAACATTATTTACAATCTAAGTGGTAACCATTAAACAAGATTCGTGCTTATGAAACTATTAACCCACAAGTTCTTGACAGGCGTGGTGACGTCGTGTGATCCGCCATCATAGCGTTGGTCTGTTGGGGGCAGCGGAGCGGAGGGGTCCTTCAGTCTCTGCAGCCAGCTCTCCTCTGCGCTCTGAAGCATATCAGCTATAGGCTCTGATGCGGCAATGTCTGGTAACGGGACACACAAGACGGGCCAGGCAGTGTACTGATTAGATGTGAAATATGAACTTCAATGAGACAAGTTTAATTTGATATAGACCAAAACTTTTAAATGTCAAATTTGTAACCTGCGAAATGTATTTTCTCACTATTCTCTGCCACTCGCGTACAATATAAAGACATTGGTGAAAAGACACTGAGAATGTGGTAATATTTATTAGCTCAAGAGGGTAATACTCTGCTGTGAAACAACCAGATACACCTTTCTGTTCTCCTGTCTTTGCCCTGTCAACCCTCCTTCAAAATCTGTGTCGATGAGCCTGCACTGGTGCAGAATGTGAACCCCACTGTGGGGTTAAGATGCTCCCTGTCTGTAATGAGGTCTAACAGGTCACAAGAGAAGGGAATGGCTTCATCCTGTCTTTTTATTTCTATGTGACTAACAACCCCCTCGACTCCCATCTCTTATTCTGTCTTTGTTTCGTCATGTGGCGGCAGAGGGAGGGGGGCAGGGTTCCAAGTAAGAAAGAGGGGGGTTGTTTCAGTCTCTAAGGGCGTCTCTCACATCTTTTCTAAGCCTACATGCTAGAAGGAGCTATTGATTGAGGCCGGAGCGAGGCAGTCGGTGATGTGATGAAGACGTGGGAGTAAATGGTTAGAAGCAGCCACGATGTTCTAGGTAGATCCCTCTCTATGGCACATTTCATCACTATCACACGAGAGACTCTGCTAACGTTTACTATGACTACACACCACAGCAGCAGTCTGGTTCAAAGGGGGGTATTAGAATGATTCTGTTCAGGTTGGAGACACGGGGAGTTCTACCCCTCCTGTGTCCATGTGTATGCGTGAGAAGCAAATATGGAAGATCGATCAGGATCAACAGCCAATAACAGCTTTTACTCCAACATATTTGTAATTGGATTTAATAGAAATATGTTCATTTATAATGTCACACCCACCGCAAGACTGAAAAAAAAAAAAGCTGAGGATAGATTGTTCTTTTTAGTAAAATAATACATATGAGATGCCAAAGATTTAAAAGGTCCAGTCCCTGAGATTAGGGCTGTACCCAAATCAGAATTTTCCAAATCGGCTCTGAGTCTCCAGTTTAGGCCAGCCATTTTTCAAGTGAAAGAAAAACACTGCTCCATAGCACCACTAGTGGACAGAGAGTTTACTAGGTACCTTAAAAACAAATTAAATTTAGGAGGATGGGATTTAAAAGGGATCAATAAATACAAGACCACTGTAAGAGCGGGGAATCATTTTTCAGATGGTAGATGTATCAATTTGCTATCTATCAATTGAGATTCTTCCTGATATCTGGTGTGCACCAGTCAAAACAGGAACCTCTTAAACGGACTTCCATAAACACACATCTACCACCACCACCACCAGGTCTTAATTTAAACCTGCTTTAGACCTGATCTTGTATGTTTCCATTATCAAAAAAATAAATACAACACACACTCTTGGCTGATATGCAACCTTCATGCCCGCTAGCAAATTAATCACACCAGCTGCTGATGATTACTGCTAATATCCAACTTTAATCAGAGCGTACATGTGTGTCCAGGCAAGAGTGAGGTGTTACTGTTTTAAAATGACTGACTTCCCTCTTGCAGATACACTCAGATGTGCACAGATAGGTTCACCAGAGACTGATTATGAGGGAGCCTCAAGAGGGGAACACAATGTGTGTGTGTGTGTGTGTGTTGTGTGTGTGTGTTTGTGTGTAAGCCTGTGCTTTATATCATCATAGTGATTATTAATGCATTTGAAAAACCTCAGCTGAATAAGCCAAAATCCATTTCTCTGCCTCTTTGCTTCATTACTTCCTGCTTGCTAAACCTCTCATTCTGACTGCAATATTATTGTGTGTACGTGCACACGTGCATATTTGTGTGAATGCATAAGTGTGTTACCTGAGGCCTTGTCTTGGTTGCAGTTCAACAGAGTTGGGTTTGCCCCGCGTCTCAGGAGCTGGCTAACGATGCTTGTCTGTAAGAGACGGGAGAAACATCCACATCCATTTTCATTAGATCCTAGAAAAGATTCAAACATTTCTAGGGCACCACTAATTGCATCTTCTCTCAAACCAGCGAAACATAAACTAAAAAGCATTACATAACAGATTAATTAAATTTTTTGAAGATGCTCTTGTAAAAGGTCACAGGATTTAAGATGGTTATACCCACATTTATTGCTACAGTGCAGATATAGAGGACATACTGTGGCACAGGCCTCGAATTGAAACACTAAGCAGATGATATATACAGAGTATGTCACACATGACAGGTCTATACAAGTGTTGCCCCAGACTGAGGAGATCCTTTAATAATGAGCCTATCTTCTGTCACATGTGACAGTGGAAGAACCCTGTAGTCATCCACCCTCATTTCTACACAGTGTGACATGTGATGGCTGTCACCTCTGTCTTCTATTGTTCTGTCTCTGTTTTCCCTTTAAACTCTGCTCACACAGGCTACATTCTGACTTGTTCTCCTTTCCCCCTCATTGCTCCTTCAATTTCTGGCCCGCTTTTTGCACTTGTCTCATTCACCACCCTTCTTTGCCTCTGTGGATGAACAGCTGTATCGAATCCAAGAAGTATATTGCACTTGTGTGATCTGTGAATACTGATTTGTGATCAGTATATGTTGATGTATCTGAAGTGTGACTCAATTTATGGATAATAAACAAGCATCTTCTTCAGTATTTCTTGGCAATGTAGGAAAGATGGCATGACTCAGAAGCTGCCTCAGCAGATCAATAAACATAAAGGCATCATTTAAAAATGTTAATGAAATGACTGTGGCAGATAATTTAATTATACACAAGAACCTACACAACCAGAGCTAGTTCTAGGAAAATATTCCAGGAATATAATAAACGCAAAACATCCCGTCCTACTGTTCAGTTTTCAGACTGTTATATTTAGTTTCAGTGCAACATCGTTCTGTTTAAAGAGCTTTTATATTGGCAGTTACTAACATGGAAATACTTGCATCTGACTGTCTGGTGATTTACATCTTTGTAGTTACTGGTGTATACAGTATATTAAGCAGCAAATAACTATATAATTATGCTTTACCCATGAGTAACCAGGATTCTCAGTTTATTGCATCAAAAAGGCTTCCCATACACTTCAGTAAAATCAAACCTACATTAAAAAACCAGTAAAGGGGTACTACTATGAAAACAGTCATTATGTCCTCCTTATGCTCTGGAGGCGCTGAAGACTGAATCAAGTTATTCCAGCATACCATTATGGGAATTGTAGGATCCAGGAACTACAAGTCATGATATTCTCTGCTGCTACACTAATACCAACACACTTTTCTGTAAGTCACAGTTCAAACTGCTCTGGAAGTACCAGAGCTTCTTCGTACTAAAACAGAGTAATAAGACATCATCTGCAATAGGGAGGAGAGTGACTTTGCACATTCAGCAGACTGACTGTGACCCATGCCAACAGCTGTTCACTTATGGGTCTACAGCATCTCTACTGCCCACAAACCCTGTCAGCTGCACTCACACCCTATAAATACTGACAACACGTCAGTGGCACCACAAGATCTGAACTCTTCAATGGGTCAAAGTTTACAGGAGGACCAGGAAAAGGTCATCAGTACATGGGGATCAGCAGGGTCAAAGTAACCTCACCTCACCAAAGTAACCTAAACTGATGTAGATTCAGATATTTTTGGTTTGGCCAACTGTCCTTTTAACAGCATTTGTCAGATGTGAAAATTAATCTTGAGATTAACATTAAAGTGCTTTAGAGAAGTTCACTGGTATATCAGTGTTGTGGTTGCTCTATTACCACAACTTTCATGTGTACCTTCACTATAAAACAGACAGAATTGATCCAATCCCAGCAGTGTTGTATTTTAACACCCTGTCATTATTTTTTAAAATCCAACACAAGACTATTTAAAAATTCTTTCCTCGAGAGAACACAACTTGAAAACCTCCAACTCAAACAAGGGAAGCCAAAAGCCAGGGCCCAACTTATCTCAAGGCCAAGAGAGAGGGAAGCTTAATTAGCTGCAGTAATAGGTTCATACATCTTCTTAAAGGGTCTGCCCGGTATGTACTCCACACTGCAGAAGGGGTCTTTGGGTTTAACATACCAGCTAGTGTTACAGTTGACAGTCAGTGTTTTCAGGCAACGGTTTTTTGCTTCTGCCTCATATCAGCAAAGCATTTTAATTAGTGGGAGCAGTGATTTACTTGGCTGAATACATGCACACATCTCGAACCCATAATGTCCAGTGTTACTGGACATGTCACTGTCTACAAGGGAAAGGTGGCAGGAAGCAAGTGTTAAGAAGGCTCAGGGAGTAGTTGGTATGCAGGAAGCAAAGCACTGGCACCAGTAAAGAGCTGATGGCTGGGGTGATTTAGCACAGTGAGGGAAACCTAATCGATTCTCCAATCCTCTAGACTGCCACTCTTAAGTCAGATGCACTTACATATTATCCACACACACACATACACAGAGTAACTGCAAATGCACAAAATCTGAAAAGCAAGGGCACACGAGGAAGTTATTAGAGTGCTGTCTGGATGATTTGTACATTTACTTCTACTGATTAACTATCATCTGATCAACTAACAACTGGATGAAGGAATCGTGTAGGAGGTAAGAAAGAAAGTGAAGGCAACAGATCTGTATGAATGACACATAGAAAGGTTGTGTGGTTACTGAAAAGAAGAAAGAATTTTTAAAAGACACTCCAGTGGGGGAAGACTTGATGATAGACGACTCAAAGAAGTAGACAGTGATTCTAAATACCAAATGAATAAATTCCCTTTCTCAGCAGCCAAGCACACAGCCCAGAAATGTAATTAAATATCCAGTTGGGTCAGCAAGATCTGAATGTGATCACTTCCCTTCCCTCATAGTTGGACCACTCCCAAACCATGAGATCCCATCGTTTCAACAGCTCACCTCCGCCCCATCTGAAAATCAATCTCCTTCCCTTTAAGACAGACCATTAAACATCTCATCTAAAATGCTGTTAATAAATGCATATGCAGTGCTGCTCCGTGCCGGCAGTTTGACTGTTTGTGATCAATACGCCCAAAAAGAGCAGTTTATCAGAGGGTGGGCAGGGTAACTGGAGGCAAGTTGCTCAGAGGAACAATCCATCAATAATTTACTCATTATTTCATTAATGACTGCAGTCGCATGGGATCAATACAGCTAGATGGGTGGAAGGTAGGGGATGACTTCATTAATGTCAAAAACACTCGGACATTTTGTTGTGCAGCTGTGAATTACCTGTCCGTATTTAGCAGCCAGGTGGAGAGGGGTCCAAAAGTTGTCGTCAGCAGGATGTGGGTCCGCTCCACTCTCTAGCAACACAGACACCACCTCTCTGTAACCACTCGCACATGCTATGTGCAGCTTCAGAGAGAGAGACAGAGAAACAAAGAGAAAGTTATGAAAGCAAAAACAGTTGAGTTGGAGAGGAGAACAAAACTACTGTTAGAAGGGGAGAACAAAAAAGGTCAACTCACACACACGGACACACATGAGACATTACTCACCAGAGTGACCCCATCATCATTGGGCTGGCTGAGGTTTCCGCCTGTGGCTACAAGCTGTCTAACATCAGATAACATGGTGCTGGGTCTCTGTGTCTTCATGGCGTGCATAGACGACACATCCACACCTGGAAAACACAAACACGATTGGCACACTAAATATATCCAGCTGTCATGCTAGTTTGATATTTTGTGAAATACTCTCATTCACTTTCTTACAAAGACTTGTATGAGAATATCAATATCACTGACATATCAGCATGTTAAATACAAAGCTGGAACCACGAGATGTTTAGTTTGCTATTCACTACACTTACAAAGCTCACTAATTAACACATTATGTCTTGTTCATTTAACCCGTATAAAAACCAAAGTGTAAAAATGACAAGTTGCTGTTGCTGTGCTGGCCGACAGCAGTGACTTCCTGGTATCAATCCTCTTATTGAACTGCATCATAAATACAAAAACATTCCCAAAATGGCAAGCACTCCCTTTAAACCTCATACATAAGATTTAGCTGTTTAGAACAATCTAGTTAGTTTATTGACTTTTGCAATATATAATCACATTCAAGTACAAGGTCCTGACATGTTTTACATTTAAAGTTTCCCCAGTTTTTCTCAGAAATAAATTAGTTGAAAGGATTTGGTTTGAATTTGGCACAGTGTTCTATGACAGTGGCTGTGCAGTGCCAGTACTGAGTATGTGACTTTAAGAGGATGCTGGCTGTGTGCACGGCACTGACAGTGAGAACAAGCACAAACTGATGTCAAACATGAAATCCCTTCATGCTAAAACCAAGGCCTGGTACGTCAGGTGCATGGTCAAAAGCGATACTTAAGCAATCAGAAGGTCATGCTGTACTCATACACAGCCCCAGTCCCTGACTTGAATGATTCAGGGCCACTGTAGTTTGTCTCCTCGGCCGACACAGACGTACAGGGGTCTACGAGGGCATCGCAAACTATGAAGATCAATGCACTGCTCCATAATCACATCCATGCAGTGGATCTGACTTCAGTTGCATTAATAGCATGGATTGATTATCAATCAATTTATATTTGACTCGGATAAGCTCTAGGGCACTAACTAATGAGACTTTTCCAAATAGACTGGTTGTATCAGCTAATCAATACGTCTGTCTTTGCAAACACGACAGCCCCGAGGTTTATAGGTATCTGACACACGCTCATAGTGACATTACCACAACAGAGGAGAATACTTGTTCTCTAAAGTGCCAATACTTGTAAGAATCTAGTATTACATGACGCACAAGCAACTCAACTAGGACAATGAAAACAGAATATCTATTAAAGCACAAAAAAAAAACTCTCTCTCCTCCTTTATCCCTGATGCAGAGACACATGGACAGTCTGTCTTTCCCACAACCACACAAACTTGGTGGGGATAGAGAGCATGCAACCAAGTTGCTATAGCAACAGAGGCTGAGTGAGCCTGTGTGAGTATGAGTGTGTTTCATGGTGGCAAACACCAGCACAATGGGGGGTGGTATCAGGGGAGCTGAAGGTAGGCAGGAGGAGAGAGATCACCACAGGGGCTGGCAGACAGTGGCAGAGAGGAGTCTTAAAGAATTCTGTGGCTGGGTTAGTCAGAGAGAGAGAGAGAGAGAGTGTGTGTGTGTGTGTGTGTGTGTGTGTGTGTGTGTGTGTGTGTGTGTGTGTGTGTGTGTATGTAGGTGTAGGGTGGTCTGAGCTGTGATGAGTTGGCTGTCTGCAGTCAGAAGCTTGCATTTGTCATGTGGTCCCTGTGCAGGCTCATGTGTGGCCAATGACAGATGGATGAGGGAAGACCCTCCATCATTGTCTATATCTGTTTCTGTCTAGCTTTGTCAGCATGATTCCCGTTACCCTGTCTCCGCGTGTCTCTCTATATTTCTCTGGCTATGTTCCCTGCTCTCCCTCTGCCGTTCTATCTATGTGCCTCCACCACTTTCGTCTCTGTGCGCCGCCAACTAGCCTGTGCCTTTATCTCCGTTATTCACAGCTTCTGTGTTGACCTTCTCCTTTCTCTGTGGGAGACAAGTGCCCCGTTTGCAATCCACCATCATTAGGCCTGTGGGTGTACTTTGCCTTCACACATACACACACACACAACACCTTCCTTTTAACTGCAGGTATGAAATATTAACCATTTTTAGTACTTCTTAAATGAAGGAAATGAAATATTTACTTTTTCAAATTTTTCTCTTTCTGAAAGGAGTGTGATAACATGGAAATGAGCCACCACATTTCAATGAACCACACTGTTGAAAGAGTATTCCACTAATTTAGCACTGCACTCCTACATTGTCAGAGTCACAGTGGAGGAAGATCAAAATCAATGCAGCAGAGCCAGAAATATTGTCTTTTTTATTCCACTCTTTCGTCTTCCTTGTCAAAACCTGGTGCCTACATTATCCACAATGCAACTAGACCACTGATGGTTCACTCAAAGATTTGCGTGCTATGTTCGCAGTGACTAATATAGCGTCAAGCTACTAGCCTCAAGCAAAGTTGAGGAGTGGGTGACAGACGTCTGTTAAGTTCATTTTTTTCTTACTCTGCACTCCCAGATTCTTTTCATTTTCAAACTTTTAGTCTTTAAACCCAACCGACACTGACTCAAGTAACATCTGCATTTATATATATATATATATTTTTTCAATTTCACATAAGCAATAGCGCTCCTCATGACCTGTAAACAGACTTTGACGTGTAAAACTTGGTGAATAAAAAGTGTGCTGAGCTTTACCATTTTCCTCCAGGTGCTTTCGGAGGATATAGCTGCTCTCAGTTCCCTCAGAGGCGTAGTCCAGAGGAATGTTTCCGTTGACGTCCTGCAGCATAACGTTCACTCCGGCCTTCCACACGCAGGGCAGAAAAAAAAAAAAAAAGCAGAGAAGACACAAACACACTGAATTTTAGCCAGGTCCATTCATCAGACTTGAATCGATGATAAAGTGGGCCCAATTATCTTGGCTTCCCAGAGGCTTGTAGCTGAGCAGAACCATGGAGACATTAACAGACAACACATTGAATTAAAGAAGTCATTAAATAACTGCCTGGGGGGTGGGGCAGTGAAGAGCGAGGGCGTTGGTTACCGTTACCTGGGATCATCGAGGTGAGCGCGTGTGTGCGTGTGACAAGATTAATGTGTGTTTACTCAACAAGGACCCTGCCGAAGCACTCTTCTGTTATAGCGTGAGATAACATGGGAGACCTTCCCTCGGGCTCCTTTAATGACTGTTACTCTGACGACGGCACAGTCGTTGGTCACAGTAGGGTGTGATTGATTGCTTCTCTTTGGGGGAACTCAGCTGCACTGCATTATTTGTAAAAAATGTTGCACTGCTTTACCAGTTAAACACAATTGTGTACAAGCCATGCAAAATGTATTTCAGTTACTTCTGTGGGCCTTCCTGTTGTCCTTCTCATTTTTATTGTCCCCTCTTTGGGGTTAGGTACTAAAAAGTAACCCACATCCTTTCAAGTGGCAATTGTCAGTATCCAGCCATAAATCGCTTCTTGTTGTTTGACTAAACCATAAAAGACAAGCCAGTGTAACGATCGTAGCTGGACCTGGTCTGATAACAGGGACAGGGGACTCTAAGTGAGGATCCTTATTGAATATTTACAGCTAATAGAATTCTAACGACCCAGTTGCAGTGCGGCAAAGAGATTTATGGCGTAGTCCTTAGACCGACAGAGAGGGAAAGGGTAGCGAAAGCGAAAAATGGGCAGAAGGGGGCTGAAAATGCGAGGAGGGAGCCAGCTGACAGAGCAACATGAGAGCCGTTAACCTTTGTGCTCTAGAAACCAACCAGCAAAACCACAAGGACACTGAGCCTCAAAACCTCAACGCATCCTTGAACTGTTAAACTGATTTAAAAATGAGACAACTGGAATTTGTTTTTCAATTCTGATGCAGATATTGAGAGGAAACGTTTTTCATCCAAGAGACGCCATCGCAATTACAGTGCGATAAAGGCAGCACAATGCTGTCGATTCCAGTTATCAGGGAATCTGTTCTGGTGAGGTTTGCAGTTTCATTGTGCTCCCATCTGTGTTGTCTAGTGGGAGCTGCTTTCGCTCACTTATGAGGGTTTATTAGGGGTTAACAAAGGGAATTAATTAACATTAACAACTATCAGCTTCTGCTGTATGAATATTCATGAGAAAACAAGAATCCTTATCGCAATGTGAAGCACAGCTTGAGGAGCAAGACATGAGGTGATGAGAGAGTCAAAGAGAGAGAGCATAATGTTATGCCCCGTCTGCCCATCCCCATAACCTCACTCACTCACTCACTCACTCACTCACTCACTCACTCACTCACTCACTCACTCACTCACTCAGCCCTCCCTTACTCCATCTTTAAACTTTTGATTTGTGCTTTACCCCCAAACAGTAATCAACTTTCTCATAAACCTGACGGCTCCTCTCAGGGCGCCTCTGTGTGTGTGTGTGTTCTTTTTTTTTTCGTGTGTGTGTGTGTGTGCGTGTGTGTGTACTGCATAGTGGGGGTAGTAAAGAGGTGGGCTAACCCAGACAATTCACTTCAAGGTCCAGTAAAAGTCAATAGGAGTCTGGCTGGATGAAGTTATCAGCTGACTGACAGATATATCTTGCTCCATCTGTCTGGAGGCTGCGCTCATCGCTGACTACTTTCACTCACAGCTGTAAAAAAAAACAAAAAAAACAAAAACAGCTGAGCAAACCTTGAGATGCATGTGGTGGCTTAAGAATTGTTTTGTAAAAATGTGAACTATGTCAAATTTACATTTACAATCCTGTGACAGACTGATAGTGTGAGATAGGTTTTATTATCCTAGAATGAAATTGTTCAACATAACAATGTGAAAAATGCACTAAGTAAATGGAAATGTTTTGCTTTCCCTCCTGAGTTAAGTCAAATGCAACCAGACAATAACAGAAAACTGTCACTATAGAAATGATTTCTATAGAGTTCCTTTTAATACCACACAAAGCTCCAAGACCAACAGATAGACGGTGAAGTAAGCATGATGTGTAGGCCACTGATCCAGACACATAAATCATGTGTCTGAGCTCACATGATAAGTGCCGACAGATATAAATGAGTCGGTGCTGGCTGGCAGCCACGCTGGCTACAAGGGGTTAACAAGTTGACTTCTGACCCCGACACGCTCCACGCCACAATATGATGGATCCACCTCAGAGATGGAAATCTGATAATATCAAGCTGCCCATGGTTCATAATGGCAATTGTTACATGCAGTGACTGCCGGAGAATCAATAGCAACTACAAGACATGCGCTGAAAGCAATCCCTGGGGCAGTTACTGCTGAGCTGGACACCGTCTCGGCACAGTGGAAACCTAACCAATGCGAAGAGTTTCCATCCACTTTTTTTCCCGAAGACCTACACTGATGTATCTAATCTATCTCAGATCATTTAACTCTACAAATGCATGTGTATGAAGATAAAATAAAAGAATTCTCTGTAAAATACATACCCATGTACATTCTGCTATTTCGGTTTTCTTAACCGTAACAAAGAAATGTACCAGAGGCAACGTGTTTTACAATTGAGACATTAACTTATTATTCTCAACTGACTGCACACACAACATCTGCTCGGCTTTGATGTGCCACGTTGCGGCGTTGTAAACAACAGTCTGTTGGACAAAGTATTTCATGCTCACACTATTTTCAAATCAACATAAAACTTTTTTTGTCTGCATTATGTACTTTCTGTTATTGCTGCGCGTTGAACATTCTGCAGATACTGATAGAGGGAAACGTATTCATATCTTTAAATGAGTACAATTCGTCACAGCATAAAATATTTACTCACATGTTATCTCACATGGTATCTACAACAACCATGAACAACCATTTTGCTGTACTTAATCAGGAGTCTGTTCACAAATTTTGCATTTCCTGAAAATATTATTGTATAACAATTTGTTTTATATATTGTTAGACTTTGCAGGTTTGGGAATTAAAAAAAACGAGATCATACACTACAAAGCATCTGCAACAGTTTCTTGATGGACCACAGAGTTCCACTGTTATGTTTAGAGAGGGGACACGGGAGGGCTGCAATATCAGCAGATAACCCCCCCCCCCTAAAAAAAAAAAAAAATCAACTGGTGTGAAGTCGAGTTCAGTGCAGCCAGGGGCTTGAAGTTAATCGTTTGACTTCAAAGGACTCAGAGTTCAGAAGTTTTAAACTCATCATTTACAAGCACGGAAAGTGGGTCAATTCCGTAACTGTAACCCCGCCGGGTTTTGCATTGTAAGATGAGAAATAACACTTTGGAACAGAGCCTCTCTCCTGTTGATCACATGGCTGCATAGCTGCACCTTCCCCTGCACAATTTTAGAGACTAAAAGCTATTATCTCACAGAGGAATATGATATGACAGAGAAGAAAAGGAAAGACAAGTATTTTTTAGATTAGGTGAAGTGCAGTGGTGGTCAGCATTTTAAGGCAGCAATTGTTTTCATGTTCTTCAAGAGTTCATATATTCAACACTGTGTCAAAAAGTACAAACTTGCACTCAGACAGATAATGGTGCAGAATTAGGGCAAGTCTGCAATTAATCCCAATCACTTACCACATCTTTTTCTGGGTTTCATAAGAAATGGAATTAGGAAGACATAATTGAGCCACTAGAAAAAAAAAATGATTTGATAAATATCTTGCGCTGTGATTCGAATAGAAGGCCAGCTAAGATGAAACAGATGGAGATCAAGAAACCTCTTTTGAGTCATCGTGATGCTTACATGAGCCAAGTGTAGTTACGTCCTGGACATGGAAAGAAATATAAAAAGGTTTAGCTTGATAATAATCACTGTGTTTTCACCGTTAAGTATTACACCACAAGTGTAATATTTTTGTGGAATTATTCAGTAAGACTACACACCCTGTCGTGTTCTTATTTGCTGAGTGACAATCCACCTCCAGTTAATCCTGCCAAGGTCTCAGTGATGAACATTAACCACAGCTAGAGCTAGGGATAGGTTTAGGAATGGGTTTGGGAATGAGAGAGTTTAGAAATGGCTTACTCCCTCTCCTGCTGTTTGGAGGCAAGAGATAAGAGAATTAACATCACCGCCAATCCGGACACAGAGCAACAATGCACCCAGACTTCTCATCAACCCCCACACTTTCCCCACATGACAAGCTTGCTAACATCTCTGTCAGCAAAAACCACTCTGCTGCTGTGTGTAGGAACTGGAGACAGGAAATCAAGGACAGAAAAGCAGAGGACGAGGGGAGGGGAGGGGGAATGGAGAAAGACACGGTGGAGTAGGACATAATAGATTAGTACATATTAGCAGTACTATTCCTTCCTGTGCCAATCAAAGATAAGGCTGCCACTCAGGCTCCTCTAGCGAGACTACTGTTCCATTTCTCATTAAAGTGTAAACCTGTTACCATATATTTAGAGGGAGGATCTCTCATTTACTGCTCTGATAAGGGAGCAGTCTGAGAACGGAGCAGGATGACTGGGCATTGGCGGGGTATGTGGTGGAGGAGATGGGTGTCAAAATGGATGAATAGAAGAAAAGGAATATTGCAACTCTATCGGAAATATGGCTTGACTGAAGCTATTTTTACCCTGGAAGACAGGAAGAGCCTAGGGCTCCCCTTTCAGAAACCAACTTCCCTGCTGATTATACCAGGAAAAGAAACGCAAGTGCTTATCTTACCCTAAAGAAAAAAAAAAAAAACGCACTATTTTGGAAATTGAGACATCACACAAGCAAGCACAAGGCCACACTCACATGCAAGCAGATACAGATGCTGTCAAATAAATAAGCATGCAGGATCAAAGGGCATTCAAGCTGTGAAAGATGAAAAAAATTGTTTTGGTGTTGCTGGATTAAGCTGGAAAAATGGTTGAACTTTCTACAAAGATGAATCTGATTCTTTGAATTTCTTAGAAATTCTTTCATAACCGCCTGATCTTTCGCAACTGAACTGAGTTCTGTGTAAATATGACCTCATTTACTAGGAGCTAGTTCTGTCTTGGTAGTGAATGGGAGACATTTAGTTACTGCCTCCCTGGGAGCAGTATTAAATCTCTCTCACTCTCTCTCTCATGGTATTGCCTTTCATGAAAACATAACTCCCTGCATAAATTGCATTTGGCATATCTATATCACTCCCTGCTCTACTAAGACAGCCTGCATGAATCTTTGCTTGGAGGAAAATGAAATGCATGCAAATACAAAATACCCAACACATACATGAACCCAACAGTCATGCAGTCAGTGCAGGCGGACAGATTCACTCTGTGCACCCTTTGCCTGGCAGCTCTTCAAACATATCCATTCCTCTCAGGAACGTCTCTTTCCTGCCCCGCAGACAGGCAGCCAGCTATCACTCAGGACCCAATCAGCAGAACCAGGCTGCACAGGATTCTACCAAGCTCCAGACTGCAGTCAACCCTCTCCAGGGCTAATCAACAGCAGCAGAGCACACCCAGCCCACTGAGTGACTGGGCTGGGTGTGCATGCCCTCCCCTGCAGCTGGGCCTGCTCTCGTTATGGACCTAATCAGTACAACCACAGCTCTTGTCAAGACATCCTCCACAGAACAGGCTCTCTCTTTGATATCATGCTAATGCCGAAATTTCTAAAAATTCTCACTTTCAGTGATTCAGCTGGGTTTGTTAGAGAAAGCAAAGTCGCATTTTAGACCTCAGTAATCCAAAACCCCTCATCACTGGAAGATGCTCCACTTGGACAGAAAATTCTGGATGACTAATGTGAATAGAGCCACTGGTTCAAAGCTAATTCAAAACATGAAGCTTTTATGCCAAGCTATTCCCAAACATTATCTAATTTGTAGCTGACACGCTTGGACTCACACAAGGATCAACAAGGAAATTATACTACGAACTACATCCAAAAAGTGTATCCATGCATGTCTGTGTGTGTGTGTGTGTGTGTNAATAGAGCCACTGGTTCAAAGCTAATTCAAAACATGAAGCTTTTATGCCAAGCTATTCCCAAACATTATCTAATTTGTAGCTGACACGCTTGGACTCACACAAGGATCAACAAGGAAATTATACTACGAACTACATCCAAAAAGTGTATCCATGCATGTCTGTGTGTGTGTGTGTGTGTGTATGTGTGTGAGTGTGGGTGTGTGTGTGTGTGTACATACTGCATGTTCGCATGTGTATTTCTCACCAGCAGCAGCAGCAGCACCACGTCCGCATGGTCACACACACACGCTACATGCAGGGCTGTCCACAGGTCTTCGTCCTGCAGGTTGACATTCAGGCCTCGCTCAATCAGAATCTCTGCCGCAAACACGTTGTCGTGGCGAGCACACTGCGGAGTTCAATGACAGTAGATTGCTTACGATTAGTTTGCAGAAATGTATATTCCCTGATGAATTGCTAACAATAAACAGTGCACAGGAGGTTCAATGCATTATAACTAATGTATGTGGAAATGTAATGAATTTTCACATCCTGCTACGGGATAAGAATTTGTAAAATACTGATAAAAACATGAAGAATGATTATCGGGAGTGCTGCCATGTCAGAGGGGTTACAACCTCTTCTGTGTCTTCTTGCAGTATAATATCAGCACCTTCTCAGTGCAAAATAATGGAAATTTTCCTTCTTTTTTTGGTGCACATACAACACTAGAGCTAGTTTCTTAAATTCAGTGATCATCATCTGATCAATGTTATCTTACCAGGTGTAACAAGGATCCACCAGAAGGAATGGGACTGTTGGGGTCTGCTCCCTCCTTCAGGAGACGCAACACTGCAGGACAATAGACAACTATATGTTAACGCCTGCTGTATGTGAAGACAGACATGATGATCAGGATATATAAAGCAGATACATGCACACTTTGACACAACACACACGCACATATAATGCCCGTACTGATCTGTGCCACTCACTATCAAAACCAATATATATATGTGTCCTCTGACTGTCCTTGACATGTCACTGTACATCAGTGTTAAGGCTGTGTGTGTGTGTGTGTGTGTGCGGTAGATCCTTGTTCCAGCAGCAGGTCACAAAGCCTCTGGGTTACACACATTAACATCACACATCGTGAGCTCCAGTGAGCCGCACAACCCACTCACACACTGACACAGATCTACTGAAGAAAACACAACCTATTACAAACAGCTTCCATAAACAGATGTGCTGAAAGTGGCAGGCTATACAAGATCACGATGATTATACCATGCCATTGACAATTTTTTTTTAATTCAACATGTACAAAAAAATGAAAGCAAACACAGCAGGAGATAGTGAGAGAAGGAACCGGGGGGGGGGCGTACTGGAGTGTGTGACAGATAAATAGAGTGGGATGGACAAACAGGAGAGGGTGAGGAAGGAGCGAGGTGGGGCACTATGGTTTGGACATATGTGATTTCACTGACACTGACAGCACGAGATGGGTACTGACTAAACCCTGGAAGACTTTGTACCAGCAAAACAACCTCGCACCTGACTGTCACGCAACCCACCAATGCATCACAACACACAACAGGCACAAACGAGCGTACACGAACTGACCAACACACACACGACACACCACATATACACACCACACACACAAACACACACAACACTACCTGTAGACCCACACACAGAGCACACCACACACAGCACAGCACAACGAACAGTGTCTGGCAGAGGGCGCACACACACGGAGGGGATTACCACACAACGATTCTTTAACCAAAGCCAGTGACTCTGAAGACAGTAGCCATGGCAATTACCATGGTGATAATTCCAACTAATGAACCCCGCTGATGACCCCCATGAGGTCATTTCACTAAAAGGGTCATTATCTAGACAGACATGCTTAAATAACTCATCCATCCCGCGCACGCATACACACACGCAGGCACGCACGCACACACAACAGTAAATGCTGGGCAGTAATCCTGTGCTTGTGTGAAACTGTCTTGGAAAGGTGTTGGTTAAATATTACAGTCATAGTACACCCACCAAACTGTGCATTGATGTGCATACGGTATAGGTAAGTATAGGTTTGCCTGCATTATATGTACATTTCACAAACACAGTTTACCATAGCGAATGTACAAATAGTCATGCATTCAATTAACAAATATATGAATATGAATTCTGTCAGTTGACTCATCAATAAATCATTTTAGAAGTTCTGCACATGCACACATACCAAACAGGCCAAACACATACTGTACACAGACATTTTTCCAGTTCTCTAATGGCCTTCAGTGCTTAATGGTCTTTAAATGGTTGATGAGAAACAAACTGGCCAACAATAAAGTCAATAAGTACAATTATCTCCCAACTCTTCAACACACTGTAGACACTCAAGACTGTAAACCACCAATTAAGGCTCATATAAGGATAAAGTAGTTACTAGGGAATAGAGAATGTTCTTACCCTCCTGTCTATCCAACAGTATCTCACTGCTTATTAGTGAAGGTGGAGCAGAGATTTTTAAGCATGAAAGGTATAACAGATTTTGTTTCATAAAAAAATAAATAATAATAATATATGATTTGAAGTTTGGTTTGGTTGCCAGTGGTCAGGACAGTCTCTTCTCTCTCAGACTGCCCATCTATCAGAGTCGGTGTTAGTCTTTGCTAGAAGAGCTTACTTGAGTTTTATGGCAAATTAATGAATCTGTCTAAAGAGGGGTCAAAGGTCAAGAGCTACATATCGACACTTAAGCAGTAAAAAAACAAGGCCCAGCATTTGTCTGGCAGTCTGGACAACAAGAATCAATAGTACTGTTGTACCATTGGCAGGTTCATCATGATCAACCACTGTTAGCCACTGGTATGTGCTCCGGCTGGTATGTGCATTGGTAGCAAGAGTACCAGCAATGTCAGGTATGAACATCAAATCACTTTCTTTCAAGATAAGTGTAAGATGTTTTCATACCTTTACAGCGTAAATCTGTTTTAAGTAATTCCAACTAGTGTATTATTTAAAGGGATTTTGACCACAGAGATACAAAGTTGGTAGCAGAAGTGATAGAAATTACTATGTTGATTTGAAGCTCTAATGCTGCTGGAAATGGCAACATGTAATTTTAGTCATCCGGTGTTGTTTAAAAGGTGAATTACAGCTGTAAAGTTTCATTTTATTCAGTTTTATTCAGTGTTGAACTAAGAAATATTACCCAAGAACATACATGAATAGCACATGGGAAAAGCATGTTGAGAGTATTTAGGTGGTGTGGAAGGTTTACAGTAAAGAATGTCCATGTTTGTCCCTGTTGTAATGTAGCTGGAAGAGAAAAGGAGGCCTGGTCATGAGGGAGATTTATAGCCACTGAATGATTTACACAGGCAGAGTAGAACAGATATATGTTTGTCCCACAACAGCCACAGTCATTTTCACTTTATGTTAAATCTTTATATGTCACTTGGTGTTTGATTATATGCTGATCTCAAGCTTTGGTCTGGAGTATATGAGTGTGTGTGAGTGTGTGTGTGAGTGTGAGTGTGTGTGTGTGTGTGTGTGTGTGTGTGTGTGTGTGTGTGTGTGTGTGTGTGTGTGTGTTAGTGTTCCTCCATCAGGAGTCTGATGATAGGGAAATGGAGAGTGGGCATGAGGCAAAGTCGGCCTTCATTTTGTGGAAAATTGCAAAACAGCTGTTCGAGATATATGTGGAGTTTCCATGGCAACCAGATAGGAACTGGTAGGAAGAGTAGAAAAGAGAGAGAACCAGAGAGGATGAGAGGGAAACCTAAATAAGGAACGGCCTGACACATTCAATATGCATCAGGAATTATTACCTGGATGCCCTGGACTAAATACAAATCCGGATTCTTAAGAAACCACAACCCTTTAAGACCTCATTAGCCCACCTTTCCCATGAAATAAGAAAACTACTTCACAACTGCACCCCTATAGTAATATTGTAACAACTGGGTTAACTGTTATGTTATAGCGTCACTGTGTTAAGGCTGTGCTATGTTCAGCTAAGGCAAAAAGGATTATTTGTTGAAGTGAATGTGAAACATTTAGAGGCATGAAGCATGTCAGGCATCTTAGCTACCTATGACAGTGGTTTGCACGAGATAGCGTACCTGTGATTGGCAGAGAGTAAGGGAGGACAGTGGATGCCTCTGCTAGGGATCGAGTATTAGTCAGCGGAGAGATCACACTGTAAACCAGACAGGCTTGTTGTTTTGGTGCCGTCTACGGCCGACACCAGCCTGTGTTCTGTTGACGAATAGAGTCAGCGGAACAAGCTAACACCTCGTAGCTTCATCCTGCTCACCTAGAGATCTATGATGTCATTCAGACTGACAGAGATTCTGTCTTTAACCTGTTTTTGTTAACCAATTTTGTGTTTGTGTTAAACAATATCAATAACCTCCACAGCAAGCTGCGCAAGCAGTGTTGTGCCAGTTCACACTTAAACAGAACTAGTTCAAAGTTCAGTTCATACAGATGAAAATGAACTAGTTCACGTTCATAGTTCATTTTTTAAAATGTTGAACTAAGCTCAGTTTCAAAAATGAACTAGTTCACGTTCATTTGTTCCGTTTTTTTTTTTCAATAAATAGGCCGATATTCTTTTTCAATCACCTCCTACCCATCCATCACCAGCCCCAAATCATTGCCACTCCCAAACTAAATGAATTATTGTATACCACTGAAGAATCACAGACATGACTTACATTTCAAATCCATGCATAAATATAATCTCTCTGAGTCTTCAGTTGTTTGTTCATAAAACTGCTTCAAATGCTCAAACAAACTGGCTTCAGCAGTAGTAGATGCATCTTTACCGTTAGCAACTGCAAAGCTGGGCCGTGTCTATGGAGACGCCATGCGGCGTGCCGTAAAACTGTTGTAAAACTGATTCGTTCAGTTCAGCGTTCCTGCACAACACTGTGTACAAGTAATAACAATACAAGTCTTGGTGGAACTTGAACTACTTGAAGTGGATATGTACATGCTGAATGAGCATGTTTTATGATACAGTACAAGATTAAACGTACTTTCCTTCAGCCTCCCTTTTCGATTCTTTGGATCTTCCTTATCTTACTGGGCCGTGATATTCCATGAATTTGATAAAATCCCTGTAATGCAACCTCCATAATATGCCACTTACAGCTGTATTGCCAATATTCTTCATCTTGCAACCACACATATTCTCACCCATGTACAGTGTATTCGTGGACTGCCCCATATGAGATTCTGTTCAAATCCCTCACCATCATAAATGCTTCTGTCTCTTTTGTCCTTATCACACAGTCATAGTCACAAGAGGGACCGTCTCACCTCACTGCCCCATGTTTCTGAAATGAGCTTAGACATTTTTCCTGTGCTTCGACCCTGATTGGAAAAAAAGGCACTGTACAGTTTTCCAATAATACTTAACTCTAAATGCAGATTATTTTATGATGAGTTCTGTAGGATGGATCAGGCTTCTCCTGCACACTTGAGACAAGTTGATTTCATGGATTTCAGGTGATAAAAATCTCAGCAACAATGCCATGCTTTTACAGCAAATACATTTCGAGTGTACTTCAAATGACTAACCTGCAGGGGTCGGATTAGAAATGTTTACTCACAACACTGTGCAAATAGCCTCCATGATAGAGAAAAATAATTAAAATAATACAATAATCAGGTACTCAATTTAGTAATTGTGAAGTCTCTTCAGGAAATCCAGCATACACACTGACTAGGAAAATGCAATAGCTTGTTTGTGAGCAGTAGAGAGAACCATCCCAGGGATTACAAATAAGTGATTGTGTTTTAATCAATTTTCAGGCTGGCCATGT